GGAGAACATGAGTCAGAGTTTTTTCTAAAAGCGAAGGTTAATGGTCGATGATCGGTGATGAAAATGATGAAGTCGTGTCCTTCCAAGTTGTGTCCGGAAGTATTTAACAGCACAGTACACAGCAAGTAGCTCCCTGTCATATGTGCTGTATTTCCTTTCTGCAGTAGTAAGTTTTCTGGAGAAGAATGCCATTGGGGAAAGTCCTTTAGTGGTATGGGCTTGAAGCACTGCTCCTATGGCCGTGTCAGATGCATCTACCATTATAGAGAGCTGATCACTAGGTGAGAGTGATAAGAAAGTGTGGCTGCATTTGCCAGATCGTGTTTGCATTGCACGAATGCTGCAGATGCAGATTCAGTCCAAGGGACAGCTCGTTGATCGTTTTTTTTTTTGCTATTCTTCAGAAACTCATGTAGACAGGCTTGTGTTTTTGCGGCATTTGGCAGAAAGCGTCGGTAGAAATTTAACATTGCTAGAAAACACTTCAGTTCAGAGATGGTTTTGGGCTGAGGTAGGTCGTTAATTGCTTTGACTCTTTCTGGTAAAGGTTTGACTCCATTCTGGGTGATAAGACATCCAAGAAAGGAAACTGAGGGTTGACCAAGTACACATTTGGATGGATTTAGTTTTAATCCATGATTTTTAAGGTGAGTGAAAATCTGACACCGATGTTGAAAATGTTCTTCCGCATCTGTAGATGCAACCAGGATATCATCAAAATATGGGATGCAGAAATCGAGGCCAGACAGTACTTGGTGTATGAAACGCTGAAATGTTTGGCCAGCATTGCGAAGGCCAAATGGCATATATAAGTACTCAAAGAGACCAAATGGTGTAGCACTGCAGTCTTGGGCACATCTTCAGCATGCACTGGGATCTGATGATATGCTTTGGCAAGATCGAGGGTAGAAAATATGTTTGTTCCATGAAAAAGATGGGTACAGTCTTGGATATGTGGGACTGGATATCTGTCAGGGATTGTGACGGCATTAAGTCGACGATAATATCCACAAGGCAGCCAGTCACCATTAGACTTTTTAACCATGTGAAATGGACTGGCCCATGGACTTTTAGATGGGCGAATGGTTCCCTGTGCTAGCATGAATTCAAATTCTTTGCGAGCAGCTTTTAGCATCTCTGAAGAAAGATGACGAGGCTTGGAAAATACAGGTGGGCCATGTGTTTCAATGTGATGATACACTTCTGGCTGATGAGTATGCTGCCCTGATTTGGATGAGTTTAAAATGTCAGGGAATTCTGTTAATAACCGATGAAACCGTGTGCTGCCCGATACAACACTTATGTTGGTAGGTACGTTCGATATGTGAGAAGCTTGGCCCTGTGATGTAAGCTGAGTTGTAGCATCAATTAAGCAATTATTCTTGACATCCACTAGAAGGTGGAAATGTGTCAAGAAGTCGACACCAATAATTGCTTGAGTTACATCCGCAATAATAAAAGGCCAGTTGAAAGTCCGGCGCAAGTTTAAATCAAGTGTCAATAGTTTGGTGCTGTAGGCTGCAATTTGGGTACCATTGGCTGCACACAGTACAAGTTTATTAAGTTGCTGAGCATTTGTTTAGTTCTCGGGAGCACTGATATGTCAGCTCCAGTATCCTACTAGAAAACATAACTGAGTTGAACGATCAGCCAGTCTGTACTATTCTGTCGATGTGGCGGACATTCTGTTGGCCAGCAGAAGACCGCCCATTTAGTTTCCCGCTTGTTCAAAAGTGCATGGAGGGGCACACTTGCGAGCTTGAGCGCCAAAATTCATATGATAAAAACATATGCCACTTGTGGGTTCTTTGTACTGCGTTTGAGTATTGTGACGAGATCGACTCCTGCTTCGGGCACGAAATTTATTACGTGGGCCCTGATTTGATCGATTGTATCTCCGTGAAGCATGAAGACTTGTAGAGTTCAGATACTTTTTTGGTCAATTCAGCCACTTGTTCGAGGGATGAACTGGAAGGTGCAGCATTAGCAGCACTGACATAAGCTGGAGTAACAAGTTCATTAATTTTGTCAGCCATTGCTGCTAAACGGGTTAGATCTTCATTGGAAGCAGCAAGAATTATTTATATGTTATTAGGGAGACGCGAAAGCCATAGTGACTTCAACAAGTCGTCACTAAAATGGCTTCCTGCCAGATCACGCATTCATGACAGCAAGTATGAAGGTCGCTGATCTCCAAGTTCAAGTCCTTGTAGTAAAGTACGTATTTTTGAAGATTCACTTTCTGAATAGATTTCAATGAGCCGCTGTTTCAGTTTGGAGTATTTATCACAATCAGGTGGTTTGAGAATTAAGTCATGCACTGAATTCAGAATATCAGACTCAATTGCTGCAATTACATGGTTGAATTTTGTAGAATCCTCACTGATGCAAACGATAGAAAATTGTGCTTCGATCTGAGCGAAACACAATGAAGGATTATTTTTCCAGAAAGGCGGTGGCTTCACCGCAACGCGTGTGATTTGTGGCTCTGGTGGAATATCATCGGCCATACTGATAGATAATTTTCACTTTAATTAATAAACACTTAACAGCACAAATATTGTAGCATGAGGATACACTATTGATATTTTACCATGATAACAATAAATATTTTAACCATGCAGAAAAATTTTACGTAACGATACACACACAAATAAGACAGGGTCAGCAATTACACACACAAATAATATTTTACCGAAATGCATTTGAAAAGAAACCCCTATTTGAGAAAAAAAAAATGATGCGTTCATTTTGTATTCGCACACACAAAATCACCACTTCACACTGCTAAGGTACTTTCGAAGGAAAAAGGAAATCACTCCTGTAGCACATGGGAAAAAAATTCACTTCTTTCGAACACTGAGGGAAGAATTTTGCCGTAGCACGTTGCAGAAAAATTACTGATGTAGCAGATTTAGCGAAAAGCACTATTGTATCACATTTGTCACAAAAGTTGAATGATCGAAGAATTATTGCACAACTGGCGAAGTCAGCGGAACGGAACAGATCACATTGATAATTTGCTGAAGCTCCTTGCGATGATATGCACGACTTTGGAAAAAACACAAGCAATATATATCAATACTTCTAGAAATAATTGAAGGGGTACGTTGTATGTAGCATATGTTTAATGTCCATATTCGTTGTTAATTGTAGTCAGTTCTTCAGAATGCCTTGGATGCACGTGGCTTAGGGTCGTTGAAAATCCATTGTCAGTAGCGTGCTCAGTCAAAAGGTCACCACTTTTGGTGGTCGTGTGCTTAATGCATGATATAATTAAAGAAAATAAGAGTAGACAATCTCCTATAACAAAAGAATATATTAAGTACTAAATTACAATTTAAATTACACTGCGGAGATCAACGCAGAGCTCGGAACACAGTTCATGCTACCTTCGCGTACAGTTGTCTAACGAGAAGTCTGAGTGAGTAATGACGTCGCTTTGCTGCTTCGATTAAGAACTGGATTTTACACATGGTACCATCTCATGAATAGAAGTTGAAGTATCTGTCGGAACGCCACATAGATGATGATAACTTTAGGATTTCGAGATAGCAATATCTTTTAATCATGGTCAAGATGGTCATTGATATTGCTGCCATACAAATGGAATGAATTAGACAATGGAATTCGGAGACCAAAAGTAGCAGTAGATTTACCACATAATAGTATTTATTGATGAATAATTTTTAGGGTACATATTCTCATTTACACACCACTATGGGTGTGACAAGGACCCCACAGATCTGTATACAACTTATCACAGTTTAAGATAATGGATGGAACAGAGAAATAACCAGTGCAGGTTTTTACACAGTGAGAGGAAGACTGGAAAAGTGACTGACTACTTCAGCAAAGCATATTTATATAGTTGATATCTTTTATTTAAGTTTTAAATGATGATTGGATAAGAGCTAACTGCATTGCAGATGACATAATGTGGATTAATTTTAAAGTGACGTAGTTTAGATTTCAGAAAGTGAATGAAGACAAATTAGAAGGAGGAATAAGAAGACTGTTGCTAAAATAAAGATGGTAATTCTGAGTTACATGTGTTATATCATATACATACATTTATATTTATGTATGCTCTTAGAATTTAAATGATATTGCAAATTAGCTCACAGCAATAATTATTATTTTTATTTCTTTTCAATTTAAATTTCTTAATTAAAATTTTAATTATATTTGCTTTATACATATAGAAAATATTTGTTAAATATATACTATATATATGTTATATATATATGTATATATATACAAATATACAAAATTTTGAATTAGATTATTTGCTGTTCTTTAGGTTTTCAGTGGGGATTTCTAAATAGGATATTACTTCCTGTATGTATTTTATTTAATTTTATTGGATGACTTTTTTTTTTTTTTTTTTTTTTTTTTTTTACTAGAGGAACCAAACTAAAATTATATAAAAAATTACATTGTTGAAATTTTGTCTTGAAAATATGTATTTTCAATGATGCTGAATAGAATTTGCAGACTTGCTTATAATCAAGTCCTATTCTGCATCATTGAAAATAAGTGAACGTTAAATTTATAATCAATGCTGAAAATAATTTCTTTCCATGCAAACAGATTTGAATGTTTGTCTCCAAATTCTGGAACTCTTCCCCTCCCCCCCATTATGTATTTACTGCTTGAACATTTAAATGTGTAACATCTTGAAATTATTTGAATGTGTGGTATTTATTTTCTGTATGTGTTACACTTTGCTCGATTTCAATGAATGATGTCCAGCAAGTGTTTAAGACTATAATATTTAAATGACCAAATTTTTTTTAGGTAATTATCCTGAAACAACTTTTAATTTCTTGCATACTGAATTTAAAGTTTTGCCTTCTTCTTAAACTTTCACATTTTATTTGATAATACCTTCAATTAGTTTATCGATGATGAACTAACTAATGAATATTATTAGCAAGATAGTAAGACACATCATACATCAAACACTAATATGTAAGATACTGCATTTTGTTTTCCAGAACCTGCATAGTTGAAGACTTCAAAGTTGCTGTATGACAAAAAGACAAGTTGTTAACTTTGATACTTGGTGAAAATTATGCCAGGATTTAAGGGAAGCTCATTCAAGTATGTTTAGATATGGCAGGAGATAATTTTTAGCATAGTTTATGAGAAGGTTCTGTTTCACATTGCTGAAGGTTAATTAATATGTGTAAATTTTCATGTCAGAATAATGTAATTTTTTATTGACAGTAGTGTGGGACCTCTAGTGAGAGATTCACCATATATTTAATGTTTTTTAGCCTTCATTTGATGCAAAACTATTGCTTTTATGTATATTTCTACAATGATCTTGTGATTGTATTGTTAAAAAAATTGCTTCAATTTATGCTTTATGATCGGCATAAATTTTGAATACTTCTGCCTTATTACTTCTGCGTATTTACTTCTTCTGTTTGATTTTTTTGAATAAATTTTGTATTTTTTAGATCTTTTATCTTTTTTAATTAGCAAATGCTTGTTATTAAATGTGTGCATGAAAAGGATTCTCTGAGAATAAATTTCAACCATTTGAAATATTTTTGTTATAGTATATGGAATTTTTTTCAGAATTTTATCTATATTATGTTTTAGGTTATTTCATCTCATCATTTTACTTCTAATAAATAAAAACCAGATGCTTATTTGAGTAAAATTTACTTTAAAAATGCCAGGCTTAGAAAAAATTCACTTAGAAGATGCTTTAGAAGATAATCCTCAGGTGAGGTATTACCAATTTGTTATTAAAAATTTTTGTGTTAATCAGGAATTATATTTTTTTGTTTTTTGTTGTTTAGTGTTACTTGTACAAGTTTGTGTATATTAGAAAGTATCTTTTCAATTGTAGAACATAGAATTTTACATATACCTTACTTAGGCGATATGTAAATTATTCAAATAATAAAAGTAAGCTTTAAATATATCTTTGTATTAATACTAATAAACATAGATAAGAATTTAAAGTGTCTTTTATTGTTTTAAAGTTTTATAATGTTTTTCACTTATAAAAATATTTTTGATGTTTTGTTACAAATGGATATTTAAATTATTATTAAATTTCTTATTACATAGTGGTCTTTATTGTTCTTTATTTATTTAAATAAAAAGGGCCATTAGTGTTCAAGAAATCATTTTCCCACATTCTATCTGTGTAACTGATATCTTTATTAAAAAAATCATTCAGTTATTGTTTACTTTATATTCCATTATTTACAATACAAATATTTATAGTATAGTGTTTACAATATATTTACAACACAGTGTTTACAAGACAAATTAACGATAGTTGGTTGTATTAATCATTTTCTGTACATTTTTGTGTTTTAGCATATTTTTAACTAAAAAAATTGTAAATACCTCTGAATGCCTATTATTGTTTTTATTATCATTATTTTAGAGTATTTGTTTCAGAAATTACCTGTGTAGATACCTCTTATTGTTTGTATTACTGTTTTGTATTAATAAGAAAGTAATTTTTAAAATTTTATGGAACATTTTTATAAAGTGCCTTGGAGATCAAAATCTTTGTTTTCTCAAAAACAACTCTTTAGAAGAAACATTGTTATTTTTTTAATTTTATTTTATTAATTTGTCAACTTCTAAATGCATTTAATTATTTTTGGAAATTATGGAAAATAATATCGATAAAAATTTATGCATTCTAATTAAATTAACAACAAATAGTTTTTTATTTTTAAAAGTATTCTCCTTCCCCAACCACATGCCATTTTGTTTAATGCAGCGTAGTTTGATTTTACTTTTAAGAAATGAAAAGGTATAATTAACAAAATCTTTAAAAAATATTTTATAAATAACTTTTTTTTTTTTTTTTCTGAAGAGAAAAATAGATTTTGTTGCTTTTAACTGCATAGACATCTAAATTTGTTGAAAATGTATTTCCATGGTAGATCTTTGATCATAGGTAAAAATATATTTCAGGGTACCCCTTGACAAAAATTTGTGATTTTTTGGCACCATTCCTGTTTACGTCCATTGCCCTCCCCAGCAAAATGGCATCCAAAACATAAGGCAATAAAACATAATCAAAACTAAAAATATATAATCTCAGTAAACTGCATTAAAAAAAAATGGAAATACATGTTATGTAATCTATGCAATTCAAAAAGGAAATATTGACTTACCTGTATTTTAAAATTTCTGTTTCTACGGTATGTGAGACATACAGAATTCCTTAACAGCATCTAAAAACTGTTGAAAATTATCTAAACTAGATTCTGTATACTGCCATTGCCACATAAATTCCCAAAACTAAAAATAAAAGTATTCTCTGTACTGCCGGAGGTATTTTTTTCAAAAGTCCCTTTTTATTACACCCCATATACCTTCCATAGTGTTGATATGAGCTCCGGTTTCCAAATCCTTAAAGCTCGATGCATAATGTACTGAGAGAAGAACGAAGCCATTTAAATCTTAATACACACCAGTCAATTGTGTTTTCTTCGCTAATCGTTCTAAAGTGTACAGAAACTTCAGATTAATCATACCATCAGCAGGCATTTTATGGTGTAAAGCACAAAATAAGAAATGTACTTCCAACATCCAACACATAAATAAGCCCTTCAAATATTTTCTCATCAGTCAAATTCACCACAATCACACAACCTATCACATCATAGTAGGGTTTCCATAACATTCAATTATTTAGGTTACCATAAAGGAAATAACAACTTGGCGATAAATGAAACAACAATTTGACGATAATCTAAGGGATACCCTAAAATATAGACTAATTGACCATACAATTACTTACATAAACACATTTATTGTTTTAACAGAAAGTATCAATTATTTATTCCTTGTCTTATCAGGTAATATCTACTAAATAATTGGTCATATTTTTTTTAGTTTTATTTATATTAAAGAATATGCATTTAAAGTAAAAAGTAAATGATTAACTAAATTTTCTTTTTATCCTCTTATTTTTTCAATGGTGTTTGTTAAATTAATTTATTTGGCTACTCTTATATGCGCCCTAAGGTTGCCAAATGCGGCAATATGTGTTGTGTCTTGGTTTTTGGCACGATTGCATATTCTGTTCTGCGATGGTTTTGGGGGCAATGTTGGTTTCTTTGGCAACCTTTGGATTTGCTAGTTGGTTCGTGTGGTAATTAAATGATTTATGACGTTTTGTTAAAATTTTAGTCGCATGCCTGGTACAACTATATTTTCAGGAGGCTGGAAATTCTACAAGTATTTAGGAGAAGAAGGTTTTGAACATTTATTTGTCAAACATAGTATCAATTTTGTGGATGATGAGTCTGGCTGTCATATAAATACGATAGAGATTATGTGGCGGCGTGTTAAAGCGACGTTGCCGACTTATAGTTGGAAATGTGATTCGGGGTTTTATTTGGTGGTTTATATATTTTTCCATCATTGTTCTGAAAAGGGAGAAGCTGCTTTTAACAAATTTGTGGTGAAATTTTTGAAATTTTTGGTGATGTTTGAAATTGGTATTTCTGCTGTTCGAAGAAGCATTTATTTATAAGTGCATTTTGTTTTATTCTTGTTCTTATTTAGAAGAATGTTATGTTCATTGTTTTTTAGTATGAATTTCTGTCATTATTTTTTTTAAATTGTTTGAAATTTATTTTAGTTATTTTAGTTTATTTTGTTGATTAGTGCAGAATGCCTAGATTGTGCAATTCGTAGATGCTTTTTAAAGTTTAAACAGAACGCTGTGTACACTGTATTCTTGAAATTTATTGTTGTTATGTTAATTTATTAAAGTGTCAGGTGCATAGTTCATAGATTCCTTTGCTGCCTAAATTGTGCAATTTGTAGATTTTTTAAAGTTTAATCAGAAAGCTAGGTACATGATATTCTTTGAAATTTAATGTTGTTATGTTAATTTATTTAAGCTAGGTGTGCGTAGTTCTTAGATTCCTTCACTGCATAGATTGTGCAATCCTGTGAATTTTTTTTAAAGTTAAAACATATCACTGTGTAATGGATTCTTATAGAATATTTTTGGTTAGAAACTTTGTTTTTGCTATCTAAATTTTTGTTTTTGTTTCAGATTTTTAGCTTAAATTGTGTGTTTAAAACGTGGTTTTTGCACATGCGAAAATCACGTTTTTGCAGACATTTTTGGCTAAAAGTTCGAAATGTAGACAAAAAATTTAGGTCGTAATATGGCGGCATGGAGTTTCTTGCCAAAAATTTTTGGAGAGAAATTTGGCGACCTGTGGGTGCATATAAGAGTAGTTCCATTTATTTAAAAGTATTTTACTATTTTAAATATTCATTATTAAATTTAGACCCGTTCCATGGTTTCTCTCTTTGAGCGTGATGCAGAATTGCTAAAAGACTATGTTGAAGCATTGAGAAATCATTGTGAAAAAGTTTTAAAGGCTCAGGTATGTTCTTCAGTTATATCCATTTTCAATTTTATTGTTTTTTGTTAGTTTGTTTTATAATTTTACTTATAAGTGAAATTTCCTGTACTTTCCCCTTCTGTACTGTATTGCTGGCTCATATCAGATAAAAAATAAAAATATAAAAAAGTAACAAAAATATAAAATATAAGAAAATGAAATGCATTATATTTATTTTAATATATATTTTCTTCATAAGTCACGTAAAAATATCGTTTTAACCCTCTGAGCAGCATGACTGGCTTTATCTTTTTTTGGCAGTTGATATATATTAGATTTTTATAACTTAAAATTCACTGCTGGCCATTAAAATTGCAACACCAGGAAGGAATGATCCTTTTTTTGTCAGTTGATATATATTAGATTATAACTTAAAATTCACTGCTGGCCATTAAAATTGCAACACCAGGAAGGAATGATCTGACGAACGTCAAAGTTGCATGAAAGGAAGAAGAGGTTGGCATATGCAAATAATTAGTATTTCAGAGCATTTAGACAACACAGGAGAGAGGAACGACATCTGTAGCACTGCATAAAAGAAAAATTGCATAGTGGATTTCTCATTTGGAAAGTGCGTTGTAAGGTTGGAGTTTGCTCATATTATCATGTTATGATTCAAATAAGAAGAGGAAAGGCATACCAGAAAGTTCCAAAATTCAATAGAGGCAGGATCATTGCCAATCGAAAGTGTAGATTATCGTTCCGTGATATCGCCGGTCGCATTGATCAACATCCAACCACTGTCATGCCAATATGGAATTGATGGATTGCTGAGGATTATACTGAACGGCATGCAGGATCTCAATGCCTTCCCATGACTAAACGCCAGAGAGGACAGGCATATTGTGAAGTCAGCCCTGCAAAACCGTACGACCACATCACGAAGCATTAATCAGGAAATGAGCATGCCCAGGATCAGCTCACAAGGTGCATCGACATTTGCAGCAGCATGGACTATCAGCAGGGTGATCATTACTTTGTTTTCCCTTGACAGCGCAGCATAGAGAGAGACGGCGACTCTGATGCGTCAGACAACAAAACTGGGTACAGGAGTGGCACAATGTCGCCTTTTCAAACGAGTCCCGGTTATGCATGCATATTTTGATGGTTATATATGTGTGTGGAGTGTCCGAGGAGACCGCACGTCGCCTGCTTGCATTCGATATCGCCATAGGGATCCTGCACCTTGTGTGATGGTTTGGGCAGCCATTGGGTACATGACATGCACGTCTCTAGTTCGGATAGACGGTAATTTGAATGTAGATGGGTACATTTCTGACATGTTACGTTCAACGGTTGTGCCTTGTCTTCAACGCTTCCAAACTCCATGTCCCAACAAAATAATGCAACACCACATGTCGTGTTCTGACCTTCCTAGATACACAAGGTATTCGATCGCTTCTCTGGCCTGCACGGTCTCCAGATCTGTCACCCATTGAAAACATCTGGTCATGGGTCGCTGAGAGACTAGCCTGCCACCCCTCTCCAGTTAATAGGGTTCATGAAGTGTGGCATAGACTTGAAGCAGCATGGAATGAGTTGCCCATTTCTGTCATCCAATCCCAGTTTGATTTTATGCTTAATAGGGCAAGGGCCGTTTTAGCTGCTAGGGTGGCAGCTGTTTCTACTAATTTTGCACCCCTGTAAACCTCCAAAATGCTTACAAATTTAATCATTTTGTCTTCATGCCATATTGTTTATGTGCAATAAATATCTTTTTTGTATTTGCTTTACTTCGTGGTGTTGCAATTTTAATGGCTAGCAGTGTATTTTGCTTTTTTTACTTTCTTTATATTATAAATGTCATTTTAATGAATGTAAGTTTATAAAAGTAGATTAAAATTATACAAATTTAGCTAATAAATGATGTTTGGATACATTTTTTCATTACAGATCCAAAAACATAAACCACTCAAATGGTTAAATAGTTCTGGAACTGCATTAAAGTTATTTTTTAATTCAATATAAATGAATACTGTATTCATGTTATAATTTGAAATTATTTATATATTATGCATTATTATTGTCATGTATTATTATCTTGATTTGTTTATGAATATATTGTCAGTTTAATAATAATAATCCTGTCATATTGTTAGATGAAAGGCTTTTCTGTTCTAACTATATTCAATTAATAGCAAGTTCACTATGTGTGTTTTTCACTGATGAATTTAAGCAAGAAATTTTTCTTCTGAATTAAAAAATCTGGCTTTATAGCAGTTGAACTATATAGGGAATAAAAATGATGAAGTCTACAGCTGTATCTTTCCTTTTTAATGTATTTAGAAAGATGTAATAATTTTAAGCAGTTTATTTTTCAATTTTTATTTTAAGAATTTTGCTGAATAATTAAAACTTCAGGTATAGTAAATTTTGAGCAACATGTTGACAATGGAAATTACTCTGTTTAATTCTTCAGTGATTATGTCTATAAGGGCACTTCGTACAACCTTCACTATCTTATTTGAATGCACTTTTTGTGTATACTTTTGATAAATTAAATAAACATCTTTATAATAATGATGTTTTCAGTCCCTTGAAAAAACACTGCATAATATAATGGAACAGATTCAAATATGCAGATTTTATTTTTAGTATTTTAAAAGTTTAAGTTATAAGAAATTAATTTTATGTTGTTAATTTGATGTTTCAATCGTAATAGGGCAACTGTAGATTACTGCAAGTGTTGAATTTAATGTTTTGTAGATGCTGTTACTATATTAGTGTCTGTGGGAATGCCTCATGAGGAAACACAGTCCTTAAAAATCATTTTCCATTCTCAGTCTCAAAATATATTTTTCTATCAGCACATTTCAAAACTTAAAAAAATAATGAGCCTACTTTAGTTATCATACTATTATTATTATTTGTAAATGCATTGCATTCCATATATGAATTGACGCAACTAACTTTTATGCAATGAAAAATTTATATTAAAAGATTAAATAATGTTCTTTAAATGTGTGGTATTGATGAGATGATCAATTCAACTTGTGCACACAAAATGTATCAAGTGATTCACTTTATACATAATTTTAATGTTCTTTAGAAGGTGTCTTACAAACATGGTGACAGTTTCTTTGAGTCTATTTTCAGGGAATGGTGTTTTAAATTAAATAAACACAATTATACAAAACAAAATATATATTGTAAAAATAAGAAAATAATGTGAAGGAAAAACATAAAAAATTGCATAAAGGAAATTAAAATAAACATTTATCAGTATTTTATGAAATATAAAACTAGCAGAAATTAAAAGCATAATGAAATGGTATTTAAGGTATGCCTAATTTCTCTGTGAATGAAGTAATGTAAATAAGAAATGTGCTGAGTTTTATTGCTATAGCCAGATGGTAACTTAACTTAATCTTAGTTTTGAATTTAATTATTATTATTTGTTTATTTTTATAGAGAGAGCTTGCATCTTCAACCTCAAAGCTTTCACAACATTTAAGAGCTTATGAAAATCAGGTAAAAATTTTGTTTTGTTTTGTTTTTTTCCGCTGCTGTTCTTGTTATTGAGTGTTTGCTTTTGTATTATCTCATAATCCTTGTTTACATTTTATCCACTACAGCCTTTTCCACTTGACACAGATCCTGACAGTGTTCTTAAAACAACTCTTCGAGAATTTGCTGTAACTTTAGATGAAGTAAATATCCTTTTGAATTTTTGATAATTATTTTTAAAAATGCTATTACTTTATTAAAAAATTCTAGAAGTTTTATTCAAAATACATGTTTTAACCCTCTGACTGCTCATTTGTTTTAACTAAATTACTTCAGAAATTGCATATTTTTTTAATTACGTATCTGCATATATTTAGGAGTACATTTTTGTAAGTAAAATAAACAAGATTTTTTTTTAATTAGATTTCATACATAACCGACTTTCATAAAAATCGCTTTTAAAAGCAATCATATAAAGACAAAAATTCTGAAAATAAATTTTAAGATATGCTTTGAGATACTATCAAGATACACTTTTAAATGGGGGGGGGGGGGGCTGCATACCCGTGAAAATCGGCATATAAGCAAATTTTGTTATTTTCATGTTGTCTGTGGAATTTCTGAGTTAAAGCAGTCAGGGGCTTAATTTCCCTGAATGTTCATATTTATGATACTATTATGTTTGTATTTATATTTTAATACTTCTACCACTTTACCACTTCAGGTGGTAAAAGCAGCTTTCATTGCATTTTATCTTGTGAAATGGGCTGGACCAAGTAATTGTGTTAAATTAATTTTTCTCTCTCTTTTCCACTCCTACTCTAGAAAAAAGGAACTTTTTCAGCTAAAATAATCTTATGTTGCCTAAAATTAACAAAATGGCTGCGAGGGGGGATATAGCAAGTGTAGTTTAGCCCTTATTTCCTATAATGTATTACATTGTATTCCCCTCATTCAGATAAATTCTTTCTGTATCAAAATAAATTGAAACAATTGTGAGGTAATTCATATAAAATTTGTGTCCACAGATAACTATTAATGTTTACATAACATTGCTTGCAAACTCACAAGCACTGTTAGTTATTGTATTTCTTAATGCATGATGAAATTGTTAATAAAAACTTTCCGTTTCATAGGGTATATCAGTGGTTCTCAAACTCTGTTCCACGGCCTCTTCGCAGGGTCACCATGAAATATTGTAAAAGCTTCATAATTAATTAAGCCAAGACATTTAGTATCATAAAAAGTGAGAAGGTACAAGTATCAAGATATTTTGTGTTATTTGTATTTACGTGACCCTATCTAAAAGTAAAGTCGGCAGTGCAGAATATTCTTGGGAACACGAGCTGGCAATGACATGCATTCTCGATCGCATGACATGATCGCAATATATCTCATGGCAATCTAACGTGAGAACATCTACAATGCTAAAATGACCTTTTCATGGCTTATTCCATAAAGAGAAATGGTGAAATTTTCTTCATATTTTTCCTGAAGTTAGCTGTTCTTGTCATTTGATTCGGGTTTGCATACCGACTTTCAGAGGTCATTTTTTTCCCTGGAGTCAAAAATCCATCATTTTCTTTCAGGCCAGATTTCATGTGATTTATACTTATCATAGTAAACATTAGTCAAATATCAGCAGCAAAAGTAAAAATTTCACTACTGAATTTATTAGAAAAATGCTCCTATCTGTCTTTAGAAGTTCCGATACACAGTCTTGCGCGCTGGAGATAAAAGTGTTTTTTTTTTTTTTTTTTTTTTTTTTTTTTTTTTTTTTTACAGTGTTGCCATTGCTTCCTTTGAAATCGTTAAGTTTCTTAATCAAAAACTCATAAATGCTTTACAAAATATTAAATGGATAATAAAACAAATTCCAAATTTTGGCTTCCAGATGCCCATATTCGGGTGGAAACATACATTATTCAAAATTTGATGCCTTTAGGTGCCGTTGTTTTATCACAGTGCGAGAAACATTCATACATTTATGCAGGTTCTTCATTATTTAATTTCTTTAAATATAACACAGGGCGATGATGTTTGCTAGCAACAATTTGAAAAGTGATTCAGACTTTTAAAGTTTTTAATGCAAAATGCTGAAAAGAAATTAATAACATCCTTTGGGCTAGAAACTCTTACTGTGGAGAAGAAAATTGAATGAAAAAGATTATTTTTTAATATTTCAGCAAACCTTGGTGTCAAATGAACTCGATCTTTCTCAAGATATAAAAACCGTATTTGAAGGGCACTTATCGCAGCTAATTATTTGTTTTTAGAAATACTTTCAAAATGAAAATTTCGATAGTTTTTCATGGATTCAAGGTCCATTTAATATTAGTTCTCCATCTGAATTTATTTTTGCTGAAGAGAATCTTAACAAATTATTTTGTCGTATCAAATTATTTATATATCTTATCAAATTATTTATATTATTATCTTATCAAATTATTTATATTATATCTTATCAAATTATTATATTATCTTGTATAATTAATTATATTATTATCTTATCAAATTATTTATATTACTATTAAATTATTATTATTATTATCAAATTATTTTCAAGAGTTTGAAAACAAAATTTTGCAGCATGGAAGTGACAGAATTTTGGATTTCAATAAAAGATGAATATCCTCTTCTGAGTGATAAATTTCATGAATAACATTAAGTGGATTTTAATTGCATTTTTGACATTGTGTTTGTGCGTGGTTTTTGGTAGTCACTGTAATAAAAAGCAAGTACAGAGCAAAATTTAACATTGAAAAGGAAATGAGGGTGGACGTATCCATTTTATCTCCTCGATTTGAGAAAATGTGCTGTGATTTGTAGGCTCTGTCACATTGATTATTAATTTAATCTTAATTAGGTAAACAAAAATCTATTAAATAGTCAAGATACGTGAGTTTTATTTATTTATATTTTTTATTTTTTAACTTCTTACATACAATTGGTCATACTTTTACTTGTGGTAGGGTAGCGCAGAAAAATTGTAATTGGAAAAAGGCACTGCAACTCAGAAAAGTCTGTTAACCACTGGTGTATATCTCAGTTGCAAAAATTTTTAACTCTGCTTCCTGTGAACATTATTATCAACATCAAAATAAAAATTTAATGGTAATTATAAAATTCTGTGCTCTCATATATTGCAGATTGCATTTGTCTATATATTTCTATTTTTAAATTTATTCAGTAGTAATGTATTTTTTAAATATTGTTAAAGATTTTTTTAAGAGGGGACATTAACACTAGTACTAGAAATGCAAGAAAAAATGAATTTTTAAATTTAATTTTAAACTTAATTTAATGGCAAAGATATAAATTTTTCAGATTGCAAAAACTGGTATTATTCTTGTAAACAAATGAAATATTTATTTGATATCTCACTGATCTTTTTAAAGAAATAAATTTTATAATACTTGTAATCTTTATAATTCCTTTTAAATATATATGTTATAGATGTACATGAGAAAATATTTCTCATTATGAAAACAAAATTTGACTTTTTTAAACAAAATTTTTTAGGGTCAGTGTCATCGCTATCATGCCAGAGTAACAAATTTTCTAAATCATTGCTTTGAGAACTCATTTAAAAGTTGATCATGTTCTTGCTTTAGGGGAAAAAATGATTTTATAAACTTTTATACAATAATTCTTATATATTTATCTCACAGGCTGCATATCTTTTTTTTTTCCCCTCCTGTAAGAGAAATCGTTAAAAAATAACAAAATGAATTAAAACACCAAATTTTAATTTTAATGCTGTAACAATGCTATTATACGTGTGTTTGAGTAGATATTTCTTCTCATTAAAATTATTTTTTTAGGTTGTCATGGCAGAATAGTTGTAATTTATGCTCAAATTTTATTTTCATAGGTTAGTTCTTTACAACAAGTGTGTGCTGCTCAGTTGGGAGATGGAATGTTGTTTCCTTTGAATCGCTTTATAGAAGCTGATCTTGCAGGTATCTCTCTTTTTTGGGGGAGGAGGGGATAGTTTCTGATTATCTGCACCCATGCTGAAAAGTCATAAAACGTATTTATGAGGCAAACCAGTCTATCACTGAAATAGTTGTGTGTCAACCCACAATGTGGGCAGTATTTATGTGGCAACCCAGTTATGTGCTAAGCACTTGTCTGTTTTGACCAATGCACAATGCAAAAGTTGTATGGAGGCAAGTTTGCGTAATTCTCTGAGTTTTCTTTTAAGGTGAAAACAGATTATTGTCTCCATGGGGAAACAACAAAAGAAAAAAATATCTGAGAAAGTATGTTCCATTGCCAATATTTCTGGGTTTTTTTAAGTTTTAATGTTTGATAAACTCTTGTATGGTATTCTTAGTGTGCTCATATTTTGAAAATGGCTGTTACCTTTCATCATTAGCTTGGTGAAAGTTTAGTAGCTAACGAAGTTGCAACTTTTCATTGGAGAGGATAATCAGAAAGTACTTATTTTTAATACATCTAATACATCTGAATTTAAAATTTCAGTATTGAAAGCAATGTTATCATGATTGATATACATACTGAAGAGCCAAAACATTATCACCACCTACCCAATAACACGTTGCATTTGGGCCCACAAAACAGCTGCAGCTTGCCTTGGCATGGATGCCACACATTCTTGGTAGATGACTGGAGATAGGTTGTACCCAATGTCTAAATGGTGGTCATGTAAAATCGAGATATTCTGACATAGTGGTATTTGAGCTTTGAGCTGCTGCTCCATTACATCCCAAAAGTGCTCAGTAGAGCACATTTGGGTTAAGATTTGACAAGTTAGGTGGTCAAGACATTAAATTGAAATTCATCCTTATGCTTCTTGAACCATTCCAACACAGTTTGAGCCTTGTGACATGGGATGTTGTCCTGCTGGAAGATTCCATTTCCATTTGGGAAGACAGACACCATGTAATGATACAACTGATCCGCAAGTGTGTTCAGATAGTCTACAGCTTTCATGGTCTGTTCTACCATAGCTAAGGGTCCCAGAATGCCCACGAGAACATCCACCAAAGCATAATATTGCCACCACCAGCCTGTGTATGACCTGCTGTTCTAGGGAAAGCAACTGTCCACCTGGAAGATGGTATATCCTGATGCGACTATCACTGTGATTAAAGAGAAATTATTATTCATTCAACCAGGCAATCTTCCAATTATCCGTGGTCTAGTCTCAATGTTTCTGGGTGCACTGTAGGTGTAGCTGAACAACGATACTTGCTTAACAGAGGCACATGAGTGGAGCATCTACTGCACAGCCCCATATCCAACAGTGTCCGCTAAACTGTGTGTTCCAAAACACTTGCACTTTGGCCTGCTGTGTATTGGGCTGTCAGCTGAGCCACTGTCTGGTGCTGATTTGCTGTACCAAGCAGGACAGTCTCCGATATCCTTTTTCTTTAATGACACATGGATATCCAATACCTTGGCATCTACTGCTGGTTTTACCATCATTTGCCCACTTTGCATAAATACTAACAATGGCAGATCATGAACAACCTACCAGCCACACAGTTTTGGAGATACTCGTTCAGAGCTTTTGGGCCAATCTACCCTCTATCAAATTTGCTTAGATCAGCAGCCTTTCGAATCACATGCAAAAGTAAGTACAAGAATGATTCCTTACCTTCTCCAAGCAATAGTTAAATACCATTCCTACTTAATCACTTGCACTCCATGTCATCCAGATGAGTTTATTGAAAAATGCTGGGTTGGTCAATAATGTTTTGGTTCATCAGTGTACATGAACTTTAGTTCAATTATAAAACACTACATATTATCTTTAACTGCATTTCAAAATAAGCAATCATATGAAAGGATTGCTTATTTTAAAATAAGCTGCTTAAATTAATAAAAAAAATTAATTACATTATATATATCAAAATAATAAATGTTTATTAGCTATATATTAATTGGAAACAAAAAATATGTGAGTGAAAAACTGTATTCACATAACTATATTCAGAACTCAAATTCTAATCCTTTGCAGACAAGAAATGAGTTCTACATAATGTAACTATATGAACAAGCTGCTGCTTTATATACTTTAGCCATCTAGACACGATTAAAGATAATTGTAAGAAAAAATAAATCAGGTACATTCTAAAAGGTAAACTCTTATGAGAAGAATTCCTGTAGTGAGATTTATGTTTGCTGAGAACTAGCAGTGTTAGAAACTGTTGTAGAGCATTTGTATAAAAAGAATACAGTAAAGTTTTTATGACTTCTTGTAGAATTATTTGGTGCTGAAAATTATTCATCTTTTCTATGCAGTTATGAAATTATACCATAACTGTAATTTTTTCAAAACTATTTTTTGTATGAATATATATGTATATATCTGGAAATGTGTATTTTTACACAATATAATCGACAAGTATATGGAAAGAAATCATAAATAGGAGAATTAATATATCATACATTCCTCTGCCCATTAAAAAATTTGGAAATTAATATTTGAGAATTAAAAATTTTGAAAGTAGGAGAATATTAATTACTGCAAAAAAGTTTTATGATTTCCTTATGATTCTATTATTATGACTATGAAAAACTATAATATTGAGTTGTAATAAATTTTTATGCTCTTTAAGAAACTAAAGCTCTGTTAAATATTTTAATTTTACATATTGTGATTATATTGTATTTGATATGCAGTTTATTTAAATCAGGTAAATTTTAATAAGATTATTTATTTCTGTTTGGTACATAAGTATGAAATTTGATATTGCATATTAATATTTTATTTATTTAATGTTATATATAGTATTTAAGATTTCATACTTCATTTTAATATTTGCACTAATATCTGCATTTTCTTCCCTTTTTAGATATATTCACCATGATGGAAATGTTTCAAGCAGCGTCTAATGGTATACAATAAGTTTTTAAAAGCATTATGAAAATTTAGCATAAAATGTTTTATCTTAACTGTCAGTCCTGTGTTAACTCTAAAATTTTATAAAATTCTTATATAATTGCACTTCTTTAAGTTGATTTCTAGGTAATATGTAACTATATTAACCACATAATTTTTTTCTAAAATCTCAAAGCATATTAATTCTTATCCATTTAAACCTATCTGTTATTCCTATTATAAGCAAATCCTATTCAAATACAAAATGCCACTTACTATGTCATTTTGAGCAGGGACCTTTATTTCATTATAATTTTAAATTCCTAAATTTTTTCATTTATCATTATTTTGGAGGAAGAAAAAAAAAAAAAAAAAAAAAAAAAAAAGGTGTTATTCCCCCCCTTTCATATGCCTACTACTTAATTGTGTATAGTTTTAGAATTTTGGCAATTTATTTCTGCTTTCTTTCAAATTGTGAATGTGGTCAGGAAATGTTGATTCAGTTATATTTTTCAAGCATTTAATCGTGATCAAATTCAGTCTGGGCATTTTTTCAAATAAATGTAAATATTTTAAGCATATTATGCCCCTGAAAATGAAACCACATGGGCATTAAATAAAAGAGCAGGAGTAAATAATGCTCATGAAAAACAGCATTAAAAAGGATTACTATTCCAAGGCATGATGTATTATCAAAATTAAAATACCATTTTCCCTTTTTTTTAAGGGGTAAGGGGATTTGTGGATCAAACTTTTATTAATAAAAAGCAGTTTTAATTCATTGGTTTAAACAAGCAAAAGTTAATAATATTCCAGTTTTTGGAAAATCTACGCCGGTAATTCAGGTAATGAAAGTCAAATCAGCAGCTGTTTTATAGTAAAGTAAAAATTTTGTTTAAATAAATAAATAATTTTCTCTTTCTAGATTAAATTTTGAATTTAATGAGGAAGTCTTTAATATAATTCAGACCTTTTTTTCAAAGCCACTTCATAATTTACTTTGTTTAATATGTTACTGTATACTCAGTCCCAAGTGTGATATGGTGAAGTAATTTAAGTTTGATTAGTTTTTTTTACATTTAAATTCAAAATCAGTACTGAATAATGTAAATAGAAAAATTTTCTCAGAATTCAAGATATAATTATTCTTTTTCAGAAATGGAGCAATCTGTCACAAAGTTTTGTAAATGTTCAAGGAAAAGAGATAGTGAAAAGGTTAGACAAGATATTAATGAAGAAGTTTATATGGCTACTAAAAAATACCATCAAGTAAGAATTTCCAATGATGTGCATTTTGAGAATGTCTGTAATACTCTTTCTCCTTTTTGAAAATATTAACCCTTTAGTGGTCATGAATAACTTGTGAACAAATTGTATGAAGGAATGGGTACAAACAAATCCTACTTGCTAAATGAATTCCCACCCTTCTTATTCCCTGAACTTCCTTGCCCTTAAAAATAATGATTCTTCACTGCAAATGAGTATAAATTATAGAAATTAGTTTTGCTAAGTGTAGATGGGTCTCCAGGTACTGTGTAACAAGGAGGAATTTAAGCAATCGAATAAAATGTTTGAAGTTAACCAGCTTGAGTTTACCAGTTTTACAAGGACTATTGGAATGAATATTAAACGGAAAAACAAATTTTTTGGCAATATTTTAACTTTTTATGATGAACATATGAATCATATCGTTACGGAAAGGAATTACTATGTAATTACTATGTATTAAAAGTGTGTATTAATTTAAGAATAAGTAGCATTCATCATGTATCATTAATGTGATATTATTGCTTATGATTTTTTTTCAGTGTTATATTAATACTGCTGTGTACAATGTTTTTTAAAAATTCAATTTGAAAGAGAACATGAGTAGGAAAAAGAAAAAAAAACTGTGGTTTCTGAAGTTTAGTGTATATATCAGTTTACATTTATTCTTTAATTACTAGACAGTGTGAATAGTGCATGTCAAAAATTAAATTTAAGGTAGCTAAAATTCTGCTAAAAATATGCGAAGTACATCTTTCTAGAGAATTATCCCTAACATATTGTGATGTCCCCAAAACAAATGCAATTTAAGAAAACAACTGGGGGGGGGAGGAGTAGCCGTCATTTTCAAACAATAGTACAATATGATACTAATTCAGAAGTCAAACAACAAAAATCAGCATTATACTTTCAAAATTTTCACAGACCTAGTTTTGATAGTTTTACCAAACCACCATCCTCAGCTTCAAAACTGCAAATGAACAAGATAGGAAATGATGATTAGATAAAATAAGAAAGCCAGGACAAGAATAAGCAAGTGGCGCCATCTGTTGGTGAAACCATAACTAAAAGATAATTTCTTTAAAGGCCGAAGGCAAAGATGGATTGGAATTAGGATCCTTAACTAGAACAGAAAGATTTTTTTGAATGTGAAATACCTCTAGAAAATCCAGTTCTCCAATGGAAGATGTTTTTTGAATAATTTTGGCAGCAGAAAAATTTCATTCCCTTCTTTTCATCAATTAGCTATAAAGTTGCACATATTTTGCAGAAATTTAACTTTCGGGTTGTTTATTCTTCCATCAATAAAATTCCGAGTTCCATACTCAAGGACCCCATTCTGGATATGAATTCCTGGGGTATTTATAGGATTCCTTGCCAGTGTATTTTAATTTACATTGGCCAAACTAAGAGAGTCTTAACATTTCGCGTCAAGGAACATGAGGTGTATGTTAGAAAAAAAGAAACACAGTCTTCTGTTGCTCAACATTGTTGATCCGAAAATCACACTTTCAATTTTTCTGCTGCCAAAATTATTCAAAAAACATCTTCCATTGGAGAACTGGATTTTCTAGAGGCATTTCACATTAAAAAAAATCTTTGTTCTAGTTAAGGATCCTAATTCCAATTCATCTTTGCCTTCTGCCTTTAAAGAAATTATCTTTTAGTTCTGGTTTCACATGGCGCCACTTGCTTATTCTTGTCCAGGCTTTCTTATCTTACCTAATCATTATTTCCTATCTTGTTCATTTGCGGTTTTGCAGCTGAGGATGGTGGTTCGGTAAAACTATCGAAACTAGTCCTGTGAAAATTTTGAAAATATAACGCTGATTTTTGTTGTTTGACTTCTGAATTAGTATTTATTCGGCGTGTTATTGTGTCTTAATTACAATATGATGTATAAAATATTATGCATAATTAAAAAGTGATGACTACTGATTTTTGATAATAATTTAGGAATATGTATTTCAAAATGAAATTATAATAATTTCCCCCCTTTTTTGAAAATTTTAATGTTAGGAAATTTTATCAAATAGTATTAGCGGTATACTGTTGAATAAAATAGTTTTTTAAAACTGTGATATTGTATTTGGTAATGTCGTCCTCCATACCTGTACAGAGTTGCCAACTCTCCCGATTTAGGCGGGAGACTCCCGATTTTCGACCGCTCTCCCGCGAACCCGATTTACAATATATTTCTCCCGACTTTTTCTTATTCTTAATATTTCTCACGATTTTTATGGAACTTGGCTTAATACTTCGTTATATGAAACAAAACAAAAAAAAAAAAAAAAAAAAAAAAAAAAAAAAGTGATTTGGACGTCTGAAAGCAACTGAATTTTCTCTAGATTATATCTAAAATGAAACCTTGCGAATCAGATGAGAATTTCTGCTTTGTGATTGACAGCATACGTATCCAGAAACTTCGTTCTCCAGTTGTCCAATGGGCATCGAGCTCCACTGCGTGTCATCTGGCATATATTAGCCAATGAGCACAAAGCAAGCTGAAGGCCGTTGGCCGTTCTTTGGATGTTCTTTCGCTATTTTGTTCATCTTGTCCTGAGTTGTGTGAGTACACGTGCCTTTAGGAAATAGTTTTAGAAATTATCGTCTTTTGATATGTCTGTGAGAAAGGTGAAATACTCGTGCACGTTTCAAAAATCGTACACAGTTGACTTTCCTTCCATTATTTCTTCAAGGAAATGTAATAAATTTGCGAGGTGTACCATCTGTCGTTGCGATTTTTCGATTTCGCTTGGTGGAAGGGCAGATGTTCTCAAACATGTGCGTACACAAAACACAAGGACAACATGAGTTGTTTTGAAAAAAACGAAAAATTAAATTTTTCTTCGGAAACAAAAGACCAAAAAGTGATTAATGCAGAATGTCTGTTCTCTGCCTTTTTACTGGAGCACAACCTGCCACTGAATGCATCGGATCACGCTGCAGCTTTATTTAGAAAAATGTTTCCCGATAGTGAAATCGCTAAGAAATACTCAAGTGCAAGGACCAAAACACCAATTGTTAAAGAAATGGGTTTGAAAAATAAATCTTGAGTTATTGATTGCATTAAAACAGCTCCGTTCTGCCTCTCTACGGATGGAAGCAATAATACCAATTCAAAACTGTATCCAATGTTTTTTTTTTTTTTAATCCAGAGTCTTCAGAAATTGAGTGCAGTTTACTTTCTGTCCCCAGTTTAGAAGGACATTCGACAGGCTTTAATATAGCACAGCTAATTATTAAAACTTTAAAATAAAATGCAGTCCCTCTGGATAATTGCTTAGCGCTTGGTGCCGATAATGCACCAGTAATGGTAGGCTTGAAGACTGGTGTTGCAGGCATCTTAAGAAAGGCAAATTCAGATTTGCAGATTATGAGGTGCACCTGTCACCTCTTAAATTTAGCAGCTGAAAAAGGGGCAGCTTCTTTACCATTAATGGGATGAACACATTGTGATATTTATTATTATCTTGAAAGGAGTTTAAAGAAAGGAAAATTGAAACAGTTCCACAGCTGCATAATACTGAAATGAGAAAAATTTTGATTTTTTGTAATTTCTGCATCATTCAGCAATTCAACTGGCAGTTCTCAAATAATACTGCAAAATATAAGCGTAAAGCTGATACAAATTTCTCTCAAAATAAAAAAAAAAAAAAAAAAAAAAAATTGCTCAACACACAAAACATTTTCCGATTACGTAAGTTTATCATGTGAAGAGCGAATATTTATGTTTTTTTCTTCGGACCTTAACAAAAGCTTTTTGCTTTTTTTTTTTACAATAATTTTGCCATCATTCGATGTTCTTAACACAATTCTACAAAGCAAAATTCCATTTAATTCATGTTTTGCAATCAATGATTTGTGATCTGTTTAAGACATTTTATCAAAGTTTGTAAAACCAGTTGGTGTTTTGTCTTGTAATTCTTATATATGATGTGATTTATGGTGAAATAGAAAATCAGAACAAAGATGAAGATTTGGTAATAGGAGCTGCAACTACAAAAGTAGTGGAAGAACTTCAGAAGAAGACAAAAATAAGTTTTATCTTCATGTTAGAAGTTACTTCTGTCGAGTATGTGATCACACTACATAATTTCAGTCAACGATGAAGTGATTTTGCATGCTAAAGTTGCTGATGTTCTGCTCTAGCAAATTGCATCTTTTTTTTTGTATAAGGTACTTTTTGAACAGATTTCCTGTGTTACTTCGTTTAGTCATGAAAGATGATGATATTGATGTTGCTACTGATATACTGCAGTCGCAATTTTGCAGTTTACCAATTAGAAAACTTGGATGAAGTTATAAATCAGCTAGGATTGACACCCAGTGGAGTTAATTGGAAAATTGAAAGGTGCTGATGGAATTTTAAAATATAGTGAACTCTCTAGATTATGTTGGCCATCTTGACAGTTCCCCATAGTAATGCATAGTGTGAGAGGATTTTCAGTGTTGTTGCGAAAACGAGGACTAAATTTAGATCTGATATTAGTGATGACACATTAGAAAACTTTTATTAGCGAAAGCAGGCCTACATGGCAATGCTATGAACAAAATTATGAAGTTTCTTTCTTAACGAGAGCAAAAATCTTGCCACTGTCCATAACATTTGTATGAAAACTGATTAAAGTGCCTTTTTTTTTTTTTTTTTTTTTTTTTTTTTTTAAAACGATGAAAGTAATAAAAATGTTTTTATGTCTAAGGTATTTTTGTTTTGCTTGCATTTAAGACTTAGTAACTATTTAAAGTTAATTCATTATTAAAAACTACATTTTTATCATTTAAAAAGTCTTTCTAACATTGTGAAAAATCTCCTGATTTCTTAAAAAAATCTCCTGATTTTTGAGTGCCATAGGTTGGCAAGTATGCCTGTATAAACAGTTCCAGGAATCATGAATTTGAAGGATCATTCTGGAACAAATTAAGCTTTTGAGATCAAAACTTAATCAGGACAAAAATCACATACTTTTATTTTTGCAGTATTTTCTCACACATATATTACAATTCCTATTAAAATATTTAATACTTTTATTCATCTGCCACCAGAGGTATACGTCAACCATTATACACCAGGGCATTCCAATATTATGTAATTAAATCAGTTAGATTAGTTATGGGCTGTATTAAAAAATGCTCCATACTGTAAGCTATTATTTTCCTCTGACAAAAGATTGTACTATGAAAATTATATTTATTACTTATGTCCAAAACATAATGAATCACTACCAAGGAAGACAGAAAGAGTGAGGCAATGCAAATTGTGAAATCTGTTGTGTGATATTCTTCTTATTCTTATTGTGTGATATTCAGTATTATTCAGTAATTGTTAACTTGGGTTAGAAAGCAGCTGAAGACTTTTTTGTATTTTTCTGGTACAATTTTCTTTCTTTTCTCTTTCTTTCTCTCTCTCCTTTTTTTCCAATTTGATACATTGCAGATCTTGCTTCCCAATAAAAATTTTGGTTTTGTAGGTTTGCAATGAAAAGCGATTCTGGAATAAAATTTCCAAAATTGACCCTCTAAATGGTGTGGAATTTTGGATATCCTTATGAAGACCAGTATTTATAGCTATAGTATAGCTTCTGTTAACATAAATTTTTATAATTACTAGTTTTAGTCTCTGTTTTCATAAATTTCCATTTATTAAAATGATTTACATTATTAAAAAAAAAGCAAAAATGCAAAATATTTTTAAATGAGGCAGTGCAAGTATAAATAAAAGCTTTATTAGTAATTATATGAATAAAAGTTTATCATTTTCCCTTCAGTTGTCTAAATTGTACATATTTTTTTTCAATAATTTTTATCCTAATGTAAATTAAATGCTTATATTTACATTTTAAACTGTCTAAATTATTGAGGAATTTTATTGGGAGAAAAAGAGTTCAGCTGCAAAGTGGTTTTAACATTTAAAAATTACAGTGAAGAAAGTATCTTCCATGGCCTTTGCAGATTTGGGAGACAAGACCTTGGCCAGATGGAGGGTATATGTAAGATATATAAGCATATCTCAATTTTAAAATCCCAGATTTCTATAATTGTTATGAATCTAATTGTGAAATAGAGTTATTTATTGCATTCATTTCTTACAATTAATTTTTGTATATTTTCTTTAATTATGCTGTGTAAAAGCTAGTTTTAAATTAAAATGAACCAGGTTTCTATCTTTAATAGATTTGTAAAAGCGAGAACTAAAAATTAAGGGACAGGGAGAAATTGAAGTTGCATATTGTTTATTAATAATGTGCATATGGTATATGAGGTGCCATAAATTTCACTGGTACTCTTTTCAGCTCGAACCTAGGTTTTAATTTTTTAAGAGGTTTATAAAGAGATGACATAGGCTTTCTAGTAGTACTCACTGGAAGATACATGAAAGGGATTTACATAGGCTAATTAGTTGTTGATTGCTGCTAGTTTTGTATAAAATATCATTGCTAACAATATTGAGTACAGAATTTCAAGGTTGAATGAACAGAAAGAGTGATTACACTATCCATTGAATTTAAAAGTAGATTTGGCATAATTGATCTAAAAAGAGAACACGAAGAACTATTATATAAATTCAGTCTAGACACCAACATCTTGGCAATCCCTATAATACAGTCAAAAGTCTTTAATCCGGACTCGTCGGGACTTCGGTATTCCGGATTATCGATTTTTCCGGATTATAGATCATCAGTTTAAATCTGGTAAGATGGCATGCAGAAATTATAAAATTAAAAATATAAAACCGTAATTTATAAAATAATGAGCAATTATGATCTAAAGAGTATCAAAATTTACAAAAAAAAAAAAAAGCTTAATATTTATTTGTTTACTTTATTAAACATTTCTTTCAACGCGCGCATGCGTAAAGCATACATTATGCATAGCCGAAATTAGAAAATTGCAACCAGAAAACTATTTGATTTGTATGCGTGATATTTATAATGACGAGGAATTTGATTTAAATCATATCAAAGACGAAGTACATCCAGATGAAATACTACATTTAATAAGGAATTATAAGCCGAATAAAATAAAAACATCTGCCCTGAAGATAACGATAGTGTTGACAGATCAACTTCCAGTTCATTGCGCGCCGCCACGTTCCCCCTCCCCTCCCCCGCGCAGAGCAGTGTGAAATTGATAAACAGATTTCGGAACGGTTAGATAAACAAAGGATATGCCTTTATCCATTTTTTGGAGCAATTCCACTTTTTGTTTGATGGACATCGAAACATACTTTCGTTTTCGTAGATCCTTTGGGAGCTCCAGCATCGGAAATTCTATTCGATATAATCGAAAGTTCAAGCTTATTTTTATAAAATTGCTCTTACAGTCTGCAAAAAATAATAAGCCGGATCCAATTTGAAGATTAAGGAACAACGCAATCATCAACATTAACTGAAATAGACAGTTAGATAATTTTAGCTTATACCGTCCGTTATACATTAAACGCGCAGCGAAAACGTATTCTGCGCTTGTGCACATGCAAATGCGCAGTCGTAAAGGTCTTATGCGCACGCTTAAACGCCTATGCGCATGCGTCAACGCGGCGCATGGGCAGAAAGGTTTTAGCTTTGAGGTCCGGATTATAGATCATTCCAGATTATGGGTGTCCGAATTAACGACTTTTGACTGTAGTACATTTATTAAAACCCTGGTATTCAGAGACTATATTCATAATCCTGCTCATAAAACATGAACAAATCTTGATATCCTGGAATTATGTCTAAATTTACTTTTAAGTGTAAGATTGCAGGATCTTCAGGCCTTATGCTAAAAAATATTTAGAACAACCAGAAAAATAGTTTCCTCAAAAGTAAATTATATGCTGCGATTGTCATTGTTTAGTCTATTTTAAATAGGAGGAAACTTTTCTATTAAGGAAAGTGTTCTAGTTTGTGAAGTCTTCCCGAAGTGTTAAAAGTTATGTCCCAATTAGTCACAGCAATGGGCATATAAAAAAAGTGAAAGTTTTATTTATGCTTTTCAAAACATAGCTATAGTAATTGAAAGGAATGAAATACTTACTATTTAACTTGGTGAAAATTTTGTCAGGATAATATATTGTGAGAATTAGCCTGATCTTTTATATGAATTGAAATCCTGATAAACTCATTTGATGTTTCGTATCAAAACGTAAAAGCTAAATTTGCTGGTTGCCTCTTCTTGTAATTGTAAGTCTTAAGTAAATCCATGCATACTATTTTCAAATATTTGCTTTTCCATTCTTAATTCTAAAATAGTTTTATTCTTATTTTCTTCTGTGGTTTTACCTTATATGGTTTTTGTATTTTTTGTATTGTTTTAGCTTTTTCAGTGTTTAAACTCCAAGTTTATTTTTCTCTTAGTTGTTGGTTCTGTCACTTTACCTTAGTTCTTTATCTTATTTCTTACTCATCTTCTTTTATGAATTTTTCATACTGGGATGCTCTATGATTTTTTAGCTTCTTTTATATTTGTCTTTTTTTTCTTCTGATTTTAGATGACAGAGAGTTTGATGCATGTAAAATTTCAAGACCTCTGATATCCAATGAGTACCATTTATATTTCAGTATTCAGATATTTTTTGTTGGGAATCTCTTTAAAACTAATTAACCTTTTTTATATGTGATAAAATGTACTGCTATGGGAACCTGTGATGAAATTGATAAAATGATTTGACAAGCAATTTATTTTGGAGAGTAAAAATTACTACAGTACTAGTTTTATAAAAATATTTCTTTTCATGTCATCTTTTTTAAAGGCTTATCAGAAATCTTAATATAAGCTTCCTTTTTATATAAATATGATTAAATGTGCATTTTAGAAACAACTGATAAAAATCTCCCTTTTCTGTATAGACACAATTTTTTCCCCCTGTATAGCAATTGTGTTCTTGTTACAGCAGTCATACTTTGCATGTATGTAATATTCATAATTTTCATATATTGAATAATGTATGTTATATAAAATGTACTCCCTTATATTTTACTTCAACTTTCAGACAGCTTTGCATTATTATGCCAATATGAATGCATTGCAGTACAAACGTAAAATAGCTTTGCTGGAGCCTATTATGGGATATCTTCATGCTTTACGATCTACATTTTCCGTTGGCCAAGAAACTCTTAATACTCCACAATTGGAAACATTTTTAAGCAACATAGGTTCCAGCGTGCAAGGGTATGTGAAAGTTTACAACAGCTTCTAGAATATGTTTTTTAGTTGTAGTATTTATAAAATGTTAGGTTTTACATTATAGAACTCTGTTGCCCTGAAAGTGAAATTGTTTTCATAAAATTATGTTCCTTATTTTCAGAAATTTTTGCAAATAGTAGTACATATGTAAAACTAGTGTTTTAAAAAATAAAAGCCATAGGCATCTTTTTCAAAGGCCTTTTGTACTTTTTAAGATTGGATACCATATAGTACAAGTAAATGTCAGGATTTTGTAGTGGTGCTGTTTATTGGAATTGCCACATGAGTAAGAATATCGTGAGTTAGAGTACTTTACGTAGGCTAATGATTGTAGCATTTACAAATTATCTTAAAATATGAATAAAATTTGGCTATACAGTCAAAAGTCATTAATTCGGACACCCACAATCCGGAATGATCTATAATCCGGACCTCAAAGCTACAAACTTTCTGCGCATGCTTCGCGTTGACGCATGCGCGTAAGACCTTTACGACTACGCATATGCGTGTGCGCAAGCGCATAATACGTTTACGCATGTGCATTTAATGCATCACAGACGATATAAGTTAAAATTATCTAATTATCTATTTCAGTTAATGTTGCAGATTGCGTTGTTACTTAATCTTCGAATTGGAATTACTATTTTTTGCAGACTGTTAGAGCAATTTTATAAAAGCAAGCTTGAACTTTCGATTATGTCAAATAGAATTTCCGATGCTGGAACTCCCAAAGGATCTACAAAGCGAAAGTATGTTTCGATGTCTATCAAACAAAAAGTGGAATTGCTGCAAAAAATGGATAAAGGCATGAAGAAAGTGACAGAGAGGTTAGTGAAAACGAAAAAAAATTTGATTGACAAGTTAGTCAGTATTCTCGGCACAGCAATTACAGGACTTAAACAGCAGAACTTTGTAACTGAACAAGAAATTATGTCTGTTTATATAAAATTAAAGAGAAAGTATTAGCACATAAAACAAAGCAACTTAAACAACTTACATTTAAAAAAATGTTTAATAAAGTAAACAAATAAATATTAAGCTTTTTTTTTTTGGTAAATTTTGATACCCTTTAGATCATAATTGTTCTTTATTTCATAAATTACGGTTTCATATTTTTAATTTTATAATTTCTGCATGCCATCTTACCAGATTTAAACTGATGATCTATAATCCGGAAAAATCGGTAATCCGGTATCGCCGAAGTCCCCGACGAGTCCAGATTAATGACTTTTAACTGTATAATAATTTGATTTGACAGTTTTTTATCATTTGAGATCAGTCTCAAAATTGCACCCCCTACATACTTTATCCACCTTTTTTAATATGTTATTAGGCCAAAGTGGCATTAGCCCAGAAGGGTTATTAATCTGGAAAAGGCATTTTGTGTTGAATACTAAAAATGTTGAATCACTTTTCAGATTGTTAACACCAAATATTATTGCCCTGTGTTATATTTAAAGAAAATTAAATAATGAAGAATCTACATGAATGCATGTTTCTTTGTCGCATTGTGAACAAACAGTGGCACCTAGAACCATCTCATTTTGAGTAACATAGTCCTCCACCCGAATACGGGCACCTGGAAGCCCGAATTTTGAATTTCAAGTTTGTTTTACTATCTATTTTATATTTTATAAAACTTTGATGAATTTTTGATTTAAAAACTCAATCAAAGCAAGCAGTGGCAACACTGTACGGAATACATTTTTATCTCCAGTGTGTGAGACTATCTATTAGAAATTCTAAAAATATGCGGTTTTTAAATATTTTTAGCCCAAAGGATGCTGGCCCAAATACTTTCAAAATGACTGTAGAAGTGTGTATGTGTGTGTAAATGAAACAAATGCTCCTTTGTTCATAACATAAAATCTGAAAGCTTTCAGATTTTTTTTTTCTTTTCGTTTCAATTTTGCATGTGTTTGCATATTTTGTGAAATCTAGTATGTTTTGCAAGTATATAATAGTAACTAGATCTATGTAAAGTTTCCTTTGCAAATTTCTTCCAAAGTCTCACTCAGCCATGAAGATGAACACATCAAAGGGTGTAAAAGACCCTTTTTATTAGTCACAACTTTTTAATAGAAAGGCATGGAATTCATGCTTACAATAGCACTGACCACTTGCGGCGAGAATTTAAAAGTAATTTAACAATAAATTTAAAAGGTAAAGTTGTAGTACTAGACTGCAAAATTAAATTTAATTTAACAGGCTGACTCGGAAACCTATAGCAGTGATATACTAACTAGATGGCCAGAATCCATAGCCGCTGCTAAGATTACCAGCTGGAGAACAAAGTACCAAATGTATGCTTTTACTAGCGAAATCATGCTCTGTCTAACCTTTTTGTTCCAGTGGTATAAATACTCTCGTTCACTTACGTCATCAGCTGGTATAGTGGTTATTAACCCTGATTTGAACTCTGGGTTCAAATTTCAGTGAAGGCATAGTTGTAACTGTCCATCCATTCATAGGAGGCAACATTAGCCACCTATTAGGTGCTTCCATAATGAAATGGCCACCACTTCCAGCCTTTGTAGTGGCGCAAGGCTAATGGCTGTTAAATCAAACACCTGGCCATTAAAAAAAAAAAAAAAAAAAAAAAAAAAAAAAATCCTAGTATGCAAATGCTAGGCAAAATAAGAGAATTCAGGAAAGGCTCAAAAATTAAAATAAGTATTAATAAAACTAAATAGAGCCTTATAGTTTTGCCTAAAGCAAGTACTTTGTTTGGAAAGTCTCATAAAGTAAAAGTCACCACAAATGTAATGAATATGGTTATCTTATATAAATTTTAGTGATTAAATATTTCAGTTTTTTGTTCATAACATTTGCAATTTATGGATTTTGAAAATGTTTTATTGGATATAAAGATGATAAAATGTTCTTTTTACAAAAGTCAGTACTTCAATTGAACTCAGCGAAGGACTGAGCCATGAAATTGTAATATAAAGAATCAATATGGTTGACAGGTAAATAAAAGAACATGTGTGAAAGAATGTTGTATGCATAAACACATAGAATACCCACATCTGTGTCACTGACATAGCAATGGATGGCTATTTTATGGAGAAAAATATAAACACAGTCCATTTTTATTTTGTTAAAAGAGATTTCTGATCCTAGTCTACTGTTGTGGGTGACTTTGTACTTCGGGCTATAGTAATTTTAAAAGCAGAAACAAAGCTTTAAGTATAGCATTAGATTGCTTTCTGTAAAAAGGAAATTCACATGCGCATGTTTATTGTGAAAAAAATATTGCTATAGATTATCCTGTATGATCTTTATTATAATTTTGTATCTTTTGTCACCTATATGTAGAATGCTGAACTTGCTGTACATGAATCCCTCAGTTATCATATCTTTTATATCAGTATTTGCATTCAATTTTTTTCAGCAATTATTAATATAAAAATACATTTGTAAGAAATAAATCATTGATTTCTAGTCTCATTTTTTGTTCCATAAAAACAGTGTGTATGGATGAATGAGAATACTTCTCTTAGCATAACATCTTAATCAAAATATATTTTGATGTTTTTTTAAGTTCTTGTATATTTGGGCTTTTCTCCAGAGTTCAGGCAGAACTTGGTCAAGAAACACAAAAAACTGTAGAACTTATTGATACCATAGAACAGCAAAGTCAACATTTATATTATGCTGAACCTCCTGTAGATATGCCTTATATTCCTCCTAATACTGGACTTTCACAAAAGAGTGGCTATTTGTTTCAAAAAACGTAAGAAAACTTTAAATTATATTTCTGTTAAGTAATGAGTTTTTTCCTTTTCAAATTATAGTATTTTTTGCCATTTTCCCATTTTTAAAATCAAATATTACATTAATTTTATGATAATAAAACTGTGAATATATATTTTTTAAAATTTAATTGAAGGATAAAATTTTTACTTTATTTATGAATTTTAAATATTCTTGTGTATGTTGCTTGTTGATATTGCTTCACATAAAAAAAAAAAAAAAAAAAAAAAAAAAACCCACGAGTTAGTAATGAATAAATAGTATTCAGCTCGTTTATTTATTTGCTGTTTATAATTAAATAAATTCTCAGTCTTTGAACTAGTCAAAGAAATAATGAGATGAACAGGTTGCCTTTTTAACTATATATGAAAATTATATCATATTTACTATTAGTAAAAGGGTTCTTATTAGTTCTGCTTGTTAACATAAAATTTCCTTTTGCCTAATTCAACATGGATGCATTTTTTATTTAAATTTAAAATTCTACTTCATGTATTTTTGTTTCAATGTGTGACATTTATTTTAAGTTTCTTTTAATATTTTGGTAATTAATTATGGTATTTTTAAATAGTATGGTACATTTGTGTTTCAGTCATAAACTACATTCAGTACAGCCTGACTGACTGATATCTGCATGCTGTAAATTTTTAATTTTTAACTTACTTTCTAGGAAATTTGCTGGAATGGTGACCAAGTGGGACCACGTGTTTGTTTATACTTTGGGAAGTAAATTAATGAGTATGGGAAAATATGAGGTATTTTAGAAAATTTTAAAGAGTTAGTGAAATTAAGACATGTGATTTTTAGTTGCATAGTTTTGTGTAAATAAGTTTCTGTGCTATGTTTTGTTAGGTTGCAGGAAGTGTCATTATGGAACTTGATAAAAATGTTACTACCATGACGCTTGAGAATGAAGATCGTCGCAATGTCTTTCAAGTGTCTAATGGGAAAAAGTAAGCTAAAAGCTCAGTATAAAATTAAGTAAAATTTGAAATTTTTACAGCATAAATAATTAGACTATTGCCAACTCTCTCTCTCTCTCTCTGTCTTTGATTCCTCCAAATGTTTTCTCTTTCATAATAAAAATTATGCCTGATGCAGTTAAATGCATTAACATGTAAACTTATAAATGCTAAATTATATGGTATATTTTCTGAATATATGTGCTAGTAAACTATTTCATAGTCTTCAGAAGTATACTTAGAATAGTATAGTATTTACATGAAAGTAATTGCTTGACTATCTTGACTCGCTGAAAGTAATTGTTATCAGATTTTTAATTTTATTTTTATTCAAAAATTAATATGCAATAAGTTACTGTAAATTCTGCTCCTTGTATCATAGTAATATGGCAATATTAGTCATAGTAAACTATTTAAAAATAGGTTTACTGCTTTTGTCAAGTTAAATTTGAATTATTTTAAATTTATTTTTCTGTGTAATTGTGTACTTGAGTTAATTAAAATTAAGAGTTTTTTATAAATTAATATGCAACATTTACAAAAAATTGCCTTAAAATTCGCTCTCCCAAATATATATTTTCTAATTGGTTTTAAAACTCAAGTAAATTTGTATAAGTATTTCATGATTATATGACTTATTTCTTCTATTCTAAATTCAGACTTATTCGCAATTCAAATTAGAGTTATCTAAGAAATCAGCAAATAAATTCAAGTCATTAAAATTAGTAAGGCAATTTTTCATTAGACATTTCTTTTGAATTAATGTCTAATCAGTTTAGGGTTATGTAATCATTTGCAGGGCATATTTTGCATACGAATTGTAGTAGAACTGTATCTATTTTTACTTTTGAACTCGTTAGTCCTAAAACTCTGTCAGTTACTTTATTGAAAGAAGGGAGGAGAAATTCTACAGAAAGTTCTAAATTATTTTGTCAACATTTAAGAATATTATGCTTAGTTAAAATATTGCTTGTCACTGAAATTACTCCACAACGGAAGAGAATTTAAAATAGAGATGAAAATTTGTCCATATTTTGTGATCGTACAAGGTAACCAAAAACATTCTTACTGTTTTGGATAGTCAGAAAGAAAAAGGTCATGCAATAAATAACAATCACCGCTAATCCTCAAAGTAATTACCATCGGCATCCAGTGCCTTTTGCCAGCAAGTGGCTAGCTCAGGAGTCTTAGGTGCAAAGAAGTCCGTGAGGGCCTTTTCGAGGTATAGCCAGTTGTTGAAGGATTTCCCACGAAGATGGTTGTCCCGGGAAAGGTGGTAGATCATTTGGTGCGAGGTGTGGGGAGTATGGTGGATGGGGTAGTGTCTCCCAGCCCAGTTGCTGGATGGTGTCCCTGGCCTCCTGAGCCACATGCAGCCTCGTATTGTCATGGAGGAGGAACACACACTTATGCTCGACTAATGCTGGCTCTTTATGCATCAGTGCCTGATGCATACATTCCATCTGCTACGAATACAGGCCTGCTGTGATGGTTTGACCCACTGGCAGGAGCTCGTAGTGCACCACTTGGTGACTAGTACACCAGATACAGAGCATGATCTTACATGGGTGGAGAGAAGGTCTCGCAGTGTGAGGTACAGGGTCCTGTGGTGACAGTCTGGAATGCCTGAGTGTGTTCTGGACCCAATTTTCATCGCTGGTGAGTACTCGATCAAATATGGATGCCATTGCAATGCCAAGTAAGCAGTAACAAGCAGGCAGCTACACACTGTTGCTTGTTTACATCGGACAGTGAGTGGGGTACCCACTTACTCATCTTGTATGCCTTTCTTACACAGTGCAAATGGAGTCTGATCATTTCATCAGATACCTGGAAGTGTGCTGCAAGCTCACCACATCTTTGGCTATGGTCACTCTGTAGGGCTGTTCTCAGGGTCTCATTGTCCAGTGCTTGTGGCCGACTGCTGCATGGTGCATCACTAAGAGACATATCCCCTGACCTGAACTTCTGGACCCTAGCAGTTCGTTCATTAATGGCATCATCCCCACAGGCCTGGCAAATTTGGCGACTTGATTCTGACAGGCCCACTTTAAAATCATACAGCAAACAACTCCAAACAAGCACCTTTGATGCATCCATTTGAATTGGTTGCTCTGCAAGTTATGTTTGAAGTAGCGATGCAACGCGCTTTTATACCCTTCGTCAGTGTCCGAACTTCCATCCTAACCACTTTCATCGCCAGATTTGGCTATTATTTTTATGTTGGGTACACTCTTCCAATGTCAAATCAGAAACGGCAAGAACTTTCTTGGTTATCTTGTATTTTGTTAAGTTTCAGAAATGCTGAAATAGTTTTATGCTTTTATGATGTTAAATACAATGACAGTTGTCAAAGATTTTATTCATATGTCAAACATTCATGTGAAACCTCTCATGAGATGAAATGACTCAAAGTAAAGAAGCAGAAGCTATTATTTTGGGTGTAAAGAATTTTTGAGCATTATCGAGTATTAAAAAAAAATATATCTAATCATAACAAACAGCTCTTAAAAGTTAAAAATAGCACTAAAAATAATGATGTGCTAAATATGAAAGAAGTACTTCTGTATTAGAAATACTATCCGTATAGATAGATTATGTAAAATCCATATAATTATGTAATATCCATGTAGAAATAACTTATGTAATGTCCACATAAATAATAAGTAACTTAAATTTCCTTTCCAAAGACTGAAGAGAGAGCAAATTATGCTGGAAGACTTACTAGTGGTAGAGGTAATTTTTTTAGTCGTTAGTAATATGGTACTAAGGGCCTTTAATAGAGCAAAATTCATCATCATATTGCCATCATTTGTTTTCATCAAATTATTGTTTCTAACCTTTCTGTGCCTATCTGGCCTAAAACCAAATCTTTAGGAGGGTTTTTTTTAACTTGTTTTTGATAAAAATGAAATTTATTTTAAAATTTCTTTCATTAATCAAAGTGAAGTAATTTAGAATCTTCATAAAAATGAAGTGGCATGAAGGCAATACTTATTAAGTAGAGAATGCCTGTTTACTGAAACATTACATCTTAGACTACTATTATCTGTACAGCATAATGCACAAGTGCATCATAAAAGAAAAATAAAAGTAAAACTAAGTTAGCTGCAGTTCCTGCATTATATTTCTTCTCTAGTCATATAGTCATTTAGTTGATTTACCTTGCACTATATATATACACACACTGTTCGACATTGAAAATGCAACACCAAGAAGGAGTAGTCAGAAATTTTATGCAAATTTTAGAGAAGACGTATGTCACTGAGTTATGCGAATGATGTGAAATGTGCAGCTCTCCGCCGCACGTGAAGTAAGATATAAGGGAAGGAACGTGCAGAATGGGCAATATTTGTGTCGTTATTTCTGCCAGACAAATTATCAAAGAAAGTTGGTTTTTGTCCCGGAAGATACGTGTAATAGGAGAGAAAGTCAGGCCGCTGTCAACGAAGGCACTTCCAGCAGATAGACAATTTTATGAGGGGTATGGTGATTGGACTGAAAAGAGCGGGTTGGTCCTTACGTCAAATCGCAGCTGATACTCACATGGATGCGAGCAGGGTGCATCGTCTATGGCAAACATGGTCGGAACAAGGAAATGTGGGAAGAAAGAGGGGTGCAGGTGCAATCAGAGTGACGCATCCACCGACAAGTTGTGGCGGTCCCGCAAGTTGCTTGTACCACGATTCTGCAGCATGTGCAAGATACCCTGGATGTTCCCGTGTCGACAAGAAGCATTTCCCGTCGATTGGTTAAACGTGGCCTGCACTCACGGCGTCCGTTAAGAAGACTGCCATTGACTCCACAACATAGACGCCAACGTTTAGAATGGTGCGGACTGGGGCAATATGGATGACAGAATGGCAAAACGTCATGTTCGCAGATGAGTCACGCTTCTGTTTATCCAGTGGCAGTTGCCGCATATGTGTGTGGCGTCAACGTGGTGACAGATCTAATCTGGCAGTAACTGTGGAACTCCCCATCGCACGACATTGTGGCATAATGGTTTGGGGTGCTATTGCCTATGATTCCAGGTCACCGCTAGTTCATATTCAGGGTACTATGATGGCCCAACGATACTTGGATAATGTACTGCGGCCGGTGGCAATCCCCTACCTTCAGGAGCTGCCTAATTCAATTTTTCAGCAGGATAACGTCCGACCACACAGTGCTCGCATCTTTCAACATGGTCTGCAAGGTATACAGATGCTTCCCTGGCCACCGTACTTTCCTGACCTGTCACCAATCGAACATGTGGGGGATGTGATTGGATGCCATTTGCAGACTCTGCCCCTGCCTCGTTCAGAAGATGATCTGTGGCAAATGGTTGAAAGGGAATGGAGAGCCATCCCTCAGGACACCATCTGCACTCTTATTGACTTTATGCCTAGACGTGTTTTTCGTCCTTTGCTGTCCGCGGTGGTTTTACTTCCTACTGAGCCGACACCATTCTCGCTCTGTATTCTGACTATCATTTTGAAATAAAGATCATTTATTCCTGCTTGCTGTCTCTTTTTTCCAAATTTCATCACTTTCTGACCACTCCTTCTTGGTGTTGCATTTCCAATGTCGAGCAGTGTATATATAATTCTTTAAAATTTTTAGGATTATTAAATATTTGTTCATGTTTTTAGATACTTGCACTTAATTTACATATGCTTTCTGAATTTGAATGATATTGCAAATTAGTTTGCAGCAGTAATTTATCTTTTATTTGTATACAATTGAATTTTCATAATTTAAAATTTAAATTAGCTTTATATGAATGACAGAATATTTGTTAAATTCAAATATATATATATATCAGATATGAAAGTATATACTATCTGTGTAAATCAGCCACTAATTATTGCTGAATTTGCATTAGAGCTGAAATGTGCTGCATGTGATTTGGGACTCTGTTAATCTTTTCATTTACATTGAATTTGGGTTATTTCAGCTGCTAATGTATATTACATTTTATTAAAATCTTTTCAAAAAGGTTAATTTGTTTCACATGCAAAATTATTCTGATGTTAGAAAATTTCAGGAATAGTTGTATAGATGTAGCTGTTAGTATGGATATGAGTTTAATTGTATTAGTCACCTAATATTATCTTTTACAGGAACAATAAAATATTATCTTAAGAAGTAAAATGACACTTAATAGAAATGCCAACAAAAAATCCAAAAACATTTATGAGAGCTATTTTTTAATTTAGTTCCAGAAAGCTTGGAAATAAAAATGGGAAAGAAGAAACAATAAATGTGTGCATTAAAAATCATAGAAAATTAATTATGCTTATTAATATTATTTATATGCCCTTCTTTTCTGATTAAATAACTGTCATAATATTTCACCAATTATTGTATGCCTTTGTTACAGAAGCTTGCTGTTAGACTAATGAAGAAAAATATTATGTTGTCCAAGACAAATTATAAATTATTACAGACTTTCCTCCCTGGCCTTTATTATTAAAGGTATCTATAATTTGCCCTCCTTAAAATTTTCAGTACCATTCAAAACTAGCACTGTCACTCTTGCAGCAATTTTCTTAATTAACATTACATAACTTGCAAAAAATTTCAACTACATTTGGCCTACAACTTGAAAAATATATATATATATATATATATATATATATAATAGAGTGAATTTTTTTACTTCAGAAAAGATATGGGCATTAATTTTATTAGACTTTTTTTACAAGAATCACTGTGAAAGTAATGCAGAAGTATGTATTTATTAATAATTAGCATTTAAAGTTAGGCAAAACAGCAACCTAATTTTTTAGCTTTTAAACAAAACTGCATTGGTTTTAAGGGCCTTTTCTTCAGGACACGTCCCTCTTCTTCAGGATAAAAAATTTCTGCTGATCGAATTTATATTGTTTGCTCATGAAAAAAGATGGACATGTATCTAATGACTTTAAAAACTGATAAAATTTTATTTAAAATCTACGATGATTTATTATTTTATTTTCATATTTTCTAGAATATTTTATCTGGTTTTAAATTCAACATTTATTTGTTAATAACAGTAAAAATAACATTTTTATCAACTGACATAGATTGTTCAAACTTCACATTTGATCAAAGTAAATCTCCTATGTAAGTATGTAATAATAATTTTTGTTACTTGCATATTAATACAACCACCTTTGCATAATTTGTCTATTATTCATAGAAGATGAAAAGTAAAAGTTACTTCTCAGGTGCAAGTTCATGATTTTCGCAGCTTTTTTTTTTTTTTTTTTTTTTTTTTTTCTAAACTCCTGATCTTATGATGTGTTTATTGTAAGTCAGCAATCATTATCAAAAGAAAACACAGTTTTAGCGATTTAAAATACAAATTTTATTTATTAAATAAGGTTTATATGATACATTAAAAAATAAAACATACTTTTTATGAAATCCTTCCATAATTTTTTTTGTGCACTGTTCTTCTTTCCATGTAAACAATGATCTGTATTCAGTTAAAAAAAAAAGTCAGAAAATTATAGAAACTTGGTATCACATACAACTTCAGCACTACATAGCATCTATCTACTAAACACATTTTATCATAGTTTCCTTTAACAATTTTGCAGTAAAATACTATACTCCATCAGAAATTTTACTGCAGTTTCTTCCTGTCCTGTGCTGGCAAATTCCACATCTACATATTTTAAAATTGAATTTAATGTACAAATATCAACATTGACCTGTAAAACCATTAGAACTTGCAATAGAACAAGAACTTTTAGGTTTCCTGATGAATGGTTATGTACGTGGTTGCCAGAGTTTGGCACATTATGAAAACTTGGCAACTTTGACTAAGGTGATTTTTATAATATGTAAGTACCTAATTTTCTCCAAGGCAAGTGAATAATGGATACAAAGTGAAACAATCGGCCATCATTGAGTTCTTGACTAAAGAAAGATGCATCCACAGAAGGTTGCAGAATGTTTAGAAATAGTATCATTAACAATATACTCAAGTGAAAGAAATTCAAATGGGAAACTAGCATTAAAGACATATTGATCTTCAGTGGAGGATATAGTTTTTTTGGGAGAAGAATCACAATGCAGCGCAAAAGATAAAAGCTAAATTTTGTTGTAAACTTTGAACAAAGTGAGTACCTCAACACTTGAAAGGCAGTATTAAGGAGAAAAAAATAGTTAAAAAATAGTTTGATTCAGTAATGGTGCAAATAAACTGCTTAATGGAATAGTACTTTAGTACAGATTAAGAGCTGCTGTAATCATGTGAAGTGTAGGCAATATGGGCTAGTAAATAAAAATGTTAGGTTGACTTTTGCATTATATTCTGTAGGACACCTTTTATTTGCACTATGCACAAATAGGAACAGGTGAACTGTTAAGACAAATAATAAAAAATAAGTATGTATCTAACTTTTGTGCATATTAAATGTTTTCTTTCATTTTCATTTTTATTTCCGCGTTTTTTAGAAATGAATTGGGGGGGGGAAACTTTTTTAGCATTATGGTTCTTTGATTAATCAAACATTTCCCAAAACATTGTTTTTATTGTTCTTTGTTATTTTATTTGACTTTCAGATATTATTATATTATGCTGTTTAATAATCATTTATCTTTGTCTCAGAACTGTTGTGTTTCAAGCATTAAATGGCCGTGAACGAGATGAGTGGATTGCATCTATACATAACATTGCAAAAGAAGGCAGTTCAAGTCGCCAGTTATCACGACAGTGCTCAAGAGATAAGGCTACTAGAGTATGAGTTTTACATATTTGCTATTTGTAACTTTTTAGAAAATTAAATATTTTTTAAATTCCTGTGATTATATTTTAAATTTGTTTTAGAGTCTTCATTCTTTGTAAAATAAAAAAAAAAAAAAAGTTTAGTATTTCCCTAAATGTAAACATGGAATTTAAATTCTTTTTTAGTTCACATAACTATTGTTTCAAAGAATTTTGAGTGAAACTCATTAAATCATAGATGGATATACAAATATAAAATTGTATGTCCAAATATGGTTTTCTACTTAAAAAGCATGCAGGTTATTATGGGATGAAAACAATTTGTGCCTAAATGTTGAACTGTGCTTTCAACAATTGTTAGCAATAATTAGATTAGACTTGCGTTGTTGTGGCACATAAAACATGTTTAAAAGATTCTCAACATTGATATCCACTTAGAAGGCTTCATGCAAGATATTCCAATTAAGGAAGTTACAAGTTTCCCTTTTGTGGATCATTCTGTTAATAATAATTCATAATTTTCTTAAAAGGGAAGCCATGAAAAGAAAATTATTCCTAACTAAAGAAGCAGTTATTTTAAGAGCCATTCCATGTCTTCGCAGGTCTATATCTGGGGTTAAACTAGTGCAATCACATTGCTGGACTAACACAGTCAGTAAGTGAGAGCACTGAGTTTCCAAACAATAATAGAAAAGTTAATATCATTCAGAACTGAAATGCTAAGACTAATATTTATAATAAAGGCTACAGATAAAAGTATTCTAAGTTTCAGCATTGTGATTTTAGGTAGTTTTGATCTCTAAGGGCAGAAAAGCCTGGCTTAATTAGTATTATCAGCACATGATTTAAACAGAAGTGTAGTAATGCATTGTTCATAGAGATATCAAAATTTACCCCACAATCAGGCAATAAACTTAGGATCTGAAGAAAACTTATATGAAGCCAGTCCAGTGACACCACTGAACATCATGTTTTAGTCATGACAGCATTATAAGTTGCCTTTTCTTTGAGGTATTGTTTATAGAGTGTAACATTTTCACAGAGTAATGTTAGTGGATGTGTAACAAAGTATTAAAGGTACGTGACTATTATCTGCCCTCCTTTGAAAAGTCAGTAACTCTTTGGCTTCTAATTTTTTACAAGGTGGTAAGAAAAAAACCATCAGTCATTTTGAAACTGGCAATATGTTAAGAATTCCATAAAAGAGCAATGAAGCAATAGAATTAAAAAAGCAAGAAACAGACATAATAAAATACTTAGCTTTTTGAAGCAATCCTTGTATTTGTTAGTCCCAAGGGGTTTTGTCCTTGAAAGACTATTGTTTTCGTCTTGCGATTTTGTGTTAAATCTTTATAAATGTCTGTTTCACTTTTCAAACTATTGCCACCAAATGTTAGAATCTTGCATTATATTTGAAGAATTTAAATAATGAAAAATCTGCATAAATGTATGTATATTTCTCGCATTGTGATAAAACAATGGTACATAGAGCCATCAAATTTTGAATGACGTAATCCTCCTCCTACTAATATGGGCATGTGGAAGACAAAATTTGAAATTTGGAATTTGTTTTATTATTGATTTCATATTTTGTAAAACTTTAACGAATTTTTGAGTAACAAACTCAACGATTTAAAAGCGAGCAATGGCAACACTCTACGGTGGGGGGGGGACATTTTTATTTCCAACGGGTGCGGAACTGTGTATCGGAATTCTAAAGATATGGTCATTTTAAAATTATTTTACGACACTGCTACTGAACTGAATTTTATGGTTTAAGTGCAAAGAACATGATATTTAATAAATAAAGGTGTAACACACAAAACATTAAAAAACCGCCCCTTTGGACGTAATTTAAAATCTGAAAACTTTCAGATTTTTTTTTTAAAATGCTTTTTTTTTTAAATTTTCAGATGCTGTTTTTGCTTTAAATATTTCAGAGAATTTCCTAAATTTAGCTTTGTGCATGCTGTTTTTCTTCCATGTATTTAGCAATATGTTTTCATTTGAAAAATCAGAGAATTACACAAATTTGGCGTTGTGACAAATTTTTGATCCATAAAATTCAATCATTTAAGAAGTACAACTTCATGGAATGAAAACCTTGGTATTTTGTACTGCTATGCAAAACATCATATTTCTGAAGAAACTTATGTTTTCTTCCCTACTTGGCAACTCGCAGGCATGCACACATACACACACCCCCAAAAAAATTTTATCAGAAAAACGACTGTTGAATTTGAAGATAGAAATCTGTGCTCGGTTGCTGTGCATGTGTGTATAATTGTGATGCTTCATAAATACATTTTAGCAGCAACATAGGTTACCTATTTTTGTGACATTGTGCCTTGTGAATTCTTTTCAGGGAGGAGCACATATTCAGAAATCATATGCAAAGGCTTGTGTATTCTTTAAATCTCAATCCCATTGAAACTTTCAAGGATTACCTTGCCCATGAAACTTTTCAAAAGATGCAAATTGCCGTTTTACAGAAATGACAGTTAATTGTTAGCTCTGGCTTTGGATTACCTGATTAAAGCAATGAAATATCAACGTGAAGTTTGTGTCAAAATCAGAGGAGGTTATATCTCACGTTAAAGCTATTTTTTATTTATTGTTTTATTTACAAATGGCTGCTTTTAGCACTTGAGCCATTAGTTGTCTTGCTTCTCAGTACTTCTGGGTGACAGAATTAAAACTTTTAAGTGCAGAGCACGTGTTTAAATTTTCTTTGCACATCAGTTGTCCAGAGTATCAAAGAGGACACATTGGAAAATCCATGAGTTTAATGTAAAATGTAAAAGAAGTGGGCATTGAGACAATCATGTCCAGTAAAAAGCCAGTATGAGGATGCAGCTGTAGCACAAGGAGAATCAGGGATATTATAACCCTTGTCCTGGAAAAATGTTTTTAAGTCTTTCCCCTAGCTTTTATATACAAATTTGAATCACGAATCTTGCTGAATTCTGTACTTATCTATCTGTTAGCAGAATAAAAGGGCATAAAATTTCTATGTTCTTAGAGGACAAGTTGATCCTTTCTTTTCCAAAAAATCTGCATTTTCATTTATCTGAATGCCAAACAATGTGGCGCGCCACATAGTGTTGGCATCCACTTTAGTGCTTTTGACTCAGTATTCAAGAGGTTAACTATATCTGGATTGGTAGTGGGCAACTGTAATGCATATAAGTAGGTCTGTCAAGAGTGTTAAAATAAGCTGTGATTTACATCTTTAATCACTGTGGCCTGAAGACTGATGTCTTTGTAGCTTTTTTTAGTGTGGTGAGCACTAAAGTTCAAAAGAAGAAAAAATTTCTTTAGAAAAGTGACAAAAATCCAGAGATTGATTTCTTGGAGCGCTGTAGCGTGTATAGATAATAAAGCTGAATCCTGATTTATTTATAATTACTTTTATCTTCTCTGCATGATGATTTGAAGAGGAGGTTTAAATAATAACCAGGAAAAGAAAACCTGTTAAGTCAGTCCTTTGTTAAATTTAATGATATTTATTATCTGATTTTCATTATATTGAAATCCCCCCCTCTTCTTGCAGTCAAGTCTGTATTATGTTCTTTGGATTGAAATGAGCCTTTAAAAAAAAAAAAAAACTTTCTGAATGTAATTTATTTGCTAAATAATATGTTAAGTGACAAAATGAAGATTTATTGTTGCATAATAATCAATACCTCTGTTTTAAACTGCATGTAGTCATATGTTGACTTTGACAATTATTTTTTACTAATGTTAATATTTTTCAATTAGCAAAACACAGTTGAGAAGTCACAATCAATATCAAGCAATGCTTCAAGTGTGGAAGGGTAGTTAAATTTCTTTAATTTTTATTTTCATTTGCCTTCTTTTTCTTTTTCATCTAAATTTTACATGGTAGAAAAATTTATTCTCTTTAATTCTGTAATATTCATTTCAGAGAAAACAATAAGCCAAATAATACATCAACTCCGCCAGCAACACCAATGGACAATCTTCTGCTGGAAACACCAATACAGTTTGATCTCTTCTCACCTGCAGAAGATCGAGAGAGGTCTCAATCCATGGATCCTCCTAAAGAGTTAGTAGTTTATGATACAGATTTGTACATATTGTTTTCAAATTGCTGAAAAGTGAGATGTTTGTTTAGATCAGGTAATGCTGATCAATAACTGTTTTGTAATCCAAAAAAATTAATTTGTTCTATTATATTTTGCTGTGCTGATTTTGATCATTCTTTTACAACAGATCATTTTGCTAACATTGTTGCTCTATGTCAGAAGTCAATTTAGCCATTTTTCTCAATTATGGTTGTAACTGTATAATATCTGTTGTGAGTTCCAAATAACTTAGCTAGGTTAGTTATCATAAAAATAAATTTGCTGTCATAAAAATAAATTTGCTGCATGGTTAGCTACCATGGTGGTGAATTATCACCACCATGGTAGCTAACCATCAGACCGACAGACACAGAATTTAAATACTTTATACTTAGTTTACCTCACTACTAGTGAGTGATTAAATTAAAATGTATAAATATAAAATTGCTAGCCAACGTGAGCCGATTTTGACATAAAGATGTTTTTTCACAATTTCTATCCATTGAACAAGTTTAATCTAACTGAGCAGAGACTGCAAGCTTTACCTACACGACAACAGAAATTCAAATACGTGACTTACCAAATTGACAATATTCAGGTTGAACCATTCAAGACCAGCATTGAAGTCCCCAAAAGAATTTGTTGTAATCGGCAATGCAGCGGATCACAGGCCAAATTCTCACACTCCTATTCATCAGTCTCTAAACTTTATAGTAAAACTGCTTTCCACTCAAATCTACATAAATTCTGAACCTTATAGCAAAAAGAGGCTGAGGCCTTCAGCCTTCGTGGATGAAGGTTGTTTTTTTTTTTTTTTTTTTTTTTTTTTGCTCTCTGTGTTAGGTGGAGAACAACCATGGTCCTTTGCCATTGCGCACTGCTATTGCTCCGGATTAACCGTTGACTGCTGAAAGTAACCTGCCTCCTAATACTGCCGAAACGATTATGGATACTTCTACTACTGAGGGCAGAAACATGGATACATCACACTTTAACTTTGCAAAAGCTATCCTGGATACAGTGATGGAAATCAAAATACTAGAAGCAAGTATTGAGCAAAATAGATAGATAAAAATCCAAATGGACGCTATACGCTGTGTATCGGATCCGGACCAGCATACGCCTATCTTCTCAAAGAATATCCATGAGATGAAGAAAAAGTTGGAGCACCTGAAGGGTAAGTTGACCTTTTATTCAAAACAGTGTGCTAGGAACCCCTTAAATGCAAACTTAAACCTAAACTCTAAATGTAAGAAACAAGATATTTCAGATAGTTCAGATGAGAATTCGAAAACTGAGGATGGCTTTGTTAAGCCCGTAAAATACACAAAGCAGGTCAAAAATACCAATACCCTCAAAATTCAGATAGACCGACCCTTCAGAGACACTTCTCAATACAAATCAGTTCCACCAATCATGGTTAAGCCTCCAGAAAACTAGAAATTTAACCCGTATTTAAAATTCTTGGCAGACCAAACAAAAGCAAAATTTTTCGGAAAAATCAGTGGAGAATTCCTCAAAATTTTACCAGATACCCCAGATGACCACAGAACACTTACACAGTTTCTAAAGGACAAACATGTAGAACATTACATTATAAACCCCTAAAACCAATGCCCCATAAAAGCTGTCATCAGAGGTTTCCCAATTGACATGGAAATTACTAAAATTTGTGGTATACTAACAGAGGAAGGTTTAACCGTACACAAAGTTATACAAATGACTCGTAATCGCACTTGACAATTTATGCCTCTGTTCCAAATTCAAATTTTACCCACACCAAGTGTAGACGAAATATTCAATATTGCACATATGTCGCTTTTCATTGTGCAGATCGAAAAATACACCAACAAAAATCTCATCCCCCAATGCCTTAATTGCCAGAAATGGCATCATTAATCAGAAAACTGATTTTTAGCTCCATGTTGTGTTAAGTATGCCGGGGAGCACACCACTGCCACATGCCCACATAGACAATCGAACATGTGTAAACTGCCTGAAATCTCACTCCGCTTCTTACAGGGGGGGGGGTGAAAAATTCTCCAAACCTAAAAATAATTCTTCATAAACCCATAGGAAATCATACACAGACATTCTCACGAACAAAAATCAAACAACACAGAAAACTTTACTCCCAAAACTCACAACCAATCAGAATGAGAGTTCAAGTTCTCAACTACTCACTCACCCCCCCTCTCAACCACAAAACACTTATGTTTCAGAATAATCTAACCAAAATTCAAGCAATATCACCTCCACTGGTTTTATGGAACTTTTCAAAGTAATTAAAGAATTAGAAAATATTTTTGGCCTAAAAAATCTCTCAAAATTAACGTCACTGATTAATAAGAACCTAACCCAGCTAAAAAATGCAGAAACTTTAATGGAAAAAATGTACATTATATTCCTTATTTTTGAAGAGCTTAACAACACACAGCATGGATAGTTACGCCCGTACAATGAATATCATTACCTGGAACACAGGTGGCCTCTCCCAAAAGTTACAAGAACAGAGGGAGTTTTTAAATGAGTATAGTCCCGACGCTTTATTCCTACAAGAACACATCCTTGTTCCTCAGTTCAAAGTTCATTTTGCAAACTATGATCTTCACAGGTATGATAGGCCTACAACAGGCAGAGCAGCTAGAGGAATTTTACTTCTAATAAAACGCTCCATCACTCATTACAGGCGTACACTTTCACAGCTTTTAGCCACAGAGGCCGTAGCTATTAACATCATTCCACCTTCTGAACCCCCCATCACTTTAGTCTCCAACTATGTTAGAAATAACACAATTGCTAATAATATCATCTCAGACTTAAAAGCGATATTCCTGTATATTCAACAATAGAGTCATTATAGGTGTAGACCTTAACACTAGACATCGCGCATGGAACTGCAGTTCAACCAATACTAATGGTAAGCACTTGTTTGACTTTGCAACTTCAGCCAATCTTATTATTGCAGCTTCTCCCACCCCAACATGCTATGGCCCTGGCTCCGCCTCCACGCTGGATTTTTTCATTCCAAAAAGTATTCAACATCCATCCAGCATAATTAAATGAACTTTCTTCGGATCATAATCTGGTAGAAATAGAATTGGAAATAAGCAGCCATAGCACACCAGACCGAAGAGCCGTTATCACAAATTGGTCTAATTTTACCAAAGCTCTGAACCACACCCACTACTCGCAAAAAACGATACACAGGAATGGTGAGTTAGACGTTTTAGTAGAAAACTTCACTAATGATCTTTGCTCAGCCTATCATGCTAACTCCAGATCTATTCCCGAGGACAAAATCAACCAAAATAAGCAGATTAAAAACTTTATTAAAAAACGAAACCATGCCAGAAAAGTTTGGCAAAGATCCAGGCATCCAGTTGATAAATTCATACTCTACATCATCAAGTCAGGACCCTTACACAAGAACACGCATGTAAACGCTGGGCTAATTACCTTGAAGGACTCAGTACAGATGATAATTCACTATGGAAAGGAACTTCAAGGTACAAAAGAAGCTACATGAATATTCTGCCCCTTAAAGGCCAAACTTCAGTCGCTTACATAGAAACTGAGAAAGCTCAGTCTTTAGCAGATTACTAATGCTACTCAGTTTATCACTAACAACATTTCTGATACTGCCACTGAACAAACAGTTGCAAACCACTATTCTTTTCACAACCATGCACTAACAACAGCATCGCAGTTAATCCGGCTGACGTACTTAGCTATATTGAGAATATGAAAAAGAAAAAGAGCCCAGGAAATGACAATATTACCAATGAAATGATAAAAAAAAATGGGACTACAGATGATATGCAGATTGACTCGAATCATTCAATACATTATTGATCTTTATTATTTTCCTCTACAGTGGAAAACGACAATCATTGTTCCCATCTCAAAACCGGGAAAGAACCCAAGTAAACCTGAATCATACAGGCCGATTAGCTTACTTCCCTCCTGCAGTAAAATTGCAGAATTCATCATTCTTAAAGCAATCCTAACGAATGCAGATGAACAAGGAGTTCTGATTACCGAACAATACGGTTTCCGGAAATATCATTTAACAGTACATCAACTTTACAGGGTAACAGAACTTCTTTCCTCTGGACTACAGAAAAAAGTTAGTACTGCTGCAATATTTCTTGATATAGCTAAGGCGTTTGACCATGTTTGGCTCAATGGACTCATTTACAAACTAATCAAACTGGACTTTCCAGAATACATCTTTAAAACACTCTATTCCTATCTATCTGATAGATACTTTATCGTTTGCATTAATAACAGCTGCTCTAATGAACAAAAAATTTGTGCTGGTGTCCCCCAGGGGGCACCACTTGCACCACTACTCTATAACATTTATGCGAACAATATACCACACACACACAGGACACAACAATTTCTATGTACGCTGATGATATGGCGATTCTCTCCCAAAATGCTTCTATTAGCTCAGCTGTCCGACACTTAAAAACATGCATCCACGCACTAGAGTCCTGGCTACTCTAATGGAAAATTAAAATCAATGTTGATAAGACTACAGCAGTCATGTTCACGAGAAAAAGAAATATCTCAGAGCAACTTTTCTTTTACAGTACTCGTATCCCTTGGACCAAGGAAGTAAAATACCTTGGTGTAATTTTAGATCACCACCTCACATGGAACCCCCACATCAAACACATAATTTCCAAGTTTCAAGTAAGTAAAACTAAACTCAACCCCTTAATCTCTCGAAACATTGTTTTAGCAATAGACAAAAAATTACTCATTCATAAGGCCATCCTGTGACCAGTTCTCACTTATGCCTGCCCAGTCTGGGGATATGTTTGCAAAACCGCTTTACGCAGAATCCAAACACTTCAAAACCACCACCTTAAGGCAGATTACCAACTGTCCATGGTATGCTCGAATGGAAAAATTCACCAAGAATGTAGAATTCCTCAAATATTAGAAGTTATGATTAAACTCTCAGAAA